CCCTAATGTAAACCCTAATGTAAACCCTAATGTAACCCTAATGTAATCAAGGTTAAAAGAGTTGTTATTGTCAAGAAGCAGGCTGGCTGGCTGGTTTAATTACAAGCGAGATGGTAGAACTAGCAGTTCTAAGTAGGAAATCTTTCAATTGTACTGGGTCAAGCTATCCTCAGGTTTATAGACAAGACATAGCTCGAGGAGGTACAACGAGACTGTAGATTAGACAGGAATTGAAGCAGATTATAGATCACGTGTTCGGGACCGGTATATCAAGGGGTAAAGAGAATCAAACAGGACAATTAGGTCGAACGGGTTAGGTACATACTGTTGGCCGCCCTATAGGGGGTCGCTACCAGCGAAGATAATTCATGGGTCAAAGATGGTTGTTCATTCCTTGCTATCTCCTAGTTACCAACTGCGAGGAGCCAAACGAGGAGGCTGGCGTCGCCCGGCATAATAGGAAAGGGCGACAGACAGTCTAAATTTACACCATGACAGTTAACCTTCAAAAAAGTAGTTGTTAAGATTGAGGAGGTTATCTTTGCGGTTGATTAAGTGACTGGTCTTTATAGTACTATAACTTAATAAATAGTATATTCTAAATAAGATCTAGCTATAATAGAAATATAGATATTGTATATACTTTATATCTAAAAGTATTCAGCCTAACACTAAGAGCATTCGACTATGCTTGGATATTAAGCGGCCAATCATAATCCTCTATGCCGCTCTACTTTGTAGCATCGGACCCCCAATGCTTCATCCCCTGTAGAATAGGGTTTACACAGTCTATTGCCTTATATAACTCTATTTAATATCTGAATCTGTTCCTTTCCAGACCTCACACCACCATATAACCTATTGTGTTTGTATAAGTAGAGGCAAAGATGTATCTTATAACTTGGGTATCTGAATTTGTAAAGTAAAAAAGTTTCTCTTCTGATAGATAGAAGGAAGAATGACTTGCTAACAGCTTCTTATGATTGATATAACTTTCATCTTCGCAAGCTGTATTATCTGGAAGGGAGAAGTATAGAAATTAAGCTACTAGATATTTTTCAGCTGACTTTAGAATATAAAGTATCCTGTCTCATCTCTACAGTACAGTTCTTTAATACTAAGTTTAGCTTCTGCAGGTGGCGCAGTTTAAATTAGGATAAGGACAGTAACTCCAGTATAACGTGTCCTCTTTCTCGATTATCCGGACCGGCAGGATCAGCCATCCAAAGACAGCAAGCTATCCCCTGCTATGGATTACGCAGTCACCGACTTTTAGTGCTCCTGGTACTTTTGGTAAAGACTTGGTTAGCCCTGTTTTCCAGCACTGAGCTTCAAGTCCTCCCAGTATTCTCGGTTAGTTTCTGAATGATCAGAACACTTAGTCCAACTATCGATTTGTTTCTTGCAGCAAAAAATGCAAGCGGTTGGGGGGTGGGGTAAGGGATATCTACCAAACAAGGAGCACAGATGGGTAGTTTTAACAAGGCCGTCGGAGAAAGTTTGACGTGTCAAGGAATGCTGGAATCAACCCCTTACGGACAGATAGGCAATGTAGACGTCAGGTGACCAGTGGTGGATCAAATGCTTGCTACATGCTACAACTCAACGCAGAGGTGCTTCTTATGTGGTACAATAAATGCCCGGAGCAGAGTACAAAAGTCAAGGGCCTCGCGCACTCCATCTTGTTTCTTCCAGTTGATTTCATATTTCACGCTTAACTGTAAGCAACGTACATCGATCTTGACTCTCAATCCATTTTTTCTCACGGCCAACATGACACGTACCTCCCCAGCGGCCGTTCTGCGCCGCGTGGCCGCCCAGGAGGGTGCCGAGAAGGTTCTCCAAGTGCTGAAGGAGGATGGGGTGGTAATCATTCAGGGGTTCCTTAGTCCCGATGTCTTTCAAAAGCTGAACGAGGAGATGGAAGATGAACTGGCGAAACGGCCTCTGGTCTGTGAGCACGAGGGGGAATGGAAGTCGGGGGTGACAGGGGCGCAGACGCGACGGTTGAATCAACTGCCTGGCTTCAGCCCGACCTTCCGCCAGCAGATCCTGAATCACCCTCTCCTCCATGAGATTTGCGAGCCGCTGTTCGGCGCCCATGGCTGTGATTACTGGATGAACACGGCCACGGTGGTGCAGATTGGGCCCGGCAATGCCGCGCAGTCCCTTCACCGCGACCAGGAGCTGTATCCGGTCTTCAATCCCATTGGCAAGAATGCCCCCGAGGCGTTGGTCAACTTCTTTTGCGCGCTGAGCACCTTCACCGATGAAAACGGGGCGACGCGCGTCATCCCTGGCAGTCATCAGTGGGATGACTTCACCACCGATGTGACTCGCTGCGTCCCGCAGACGATCCCCGCCGAGATGGAGGCTGGAGACTGCCTGCTCTTCAGTGGGAAAACAGTCCACGGTGGAGGAGCCAACCGCTCGCAGAACAATATCCGTCGAGGAATGGCGCTGGGCGTTCAGACAACCTATCTCACCCCGGAGGAGAACTACCAGCATATTCCTCGGGAGGTTGTTGAATCCATGACCCCCCAGGCTCAGAAGATGATTCACTGGCGCTCCTCCTACTGCCCTGGGGGCGCCGGGCTCTGGCAAATCAATGGAACAGAACTGGCCCACGAGATCGGGCTGAAGGCCAACCAGCCCAAGAAAACTATCTAGGGTTCTGCTTGATGGGCATCCATGTATTGAGAGTACGGTGGACATAGTAGGCAAAAATGTTGAGGCTGGCAAGATTGCTACAATCAATATTGCAGTAGCGGCAGAATAGATTTTTTTGAAAACAGTTGACGTCCGACTATATTCTTTTTGTAATGTTTTGTAATGCAGAATTCAGAGGCGTGGTACTGTAAAGCAGCTTAATCAACAGGCATCGTATTTCCTCATGACATGAAGCTCTATGGTTTGGTTTATGGCTGGCCTCGAACGACCAGTTTTGCTATATGAAAGGTTGTACTGTACTGGGATGCGTGTGCGAAGACCGGTCTATACTTGCATGGTCACACATGCTGAATGGAAGATTTTTACCCAATGACGATGATGAGGCGTACTGTAAGCCTGGCCTGATGGCATATTCATCCCCTGCATGAGATCTGCATTGTCGGGCTGCCAGGGTCCAACTAGCGGTCAGAGCCTACGAGGTTCGCGAGCAGACGAGGGGGCTGCTACCACCGTACGCCAATGGACAAACATTAATGCAACGAGATGGAGCATAACCCGCATGAGAGGGCCATAAGTCGCGAGTTACAATTATAAAGGGGCGCTGCAAGAGCCCATCCAGAGACTAAAACTGACCGTCCTCGCCCGCGCTCTGCCCTAGGTGGCCCGATAGTCCCAGCCTGCCTCCTCAGTCACTCTCCAACCGCTGACAATGGGTCTGGACGAGAATCCCGTCCCCTCCACATTGCCCTACACCCTTCACGCAGTCTTCGAGCGCAATGTTCTTGACCAACCCGACGCCCCGGCCGTCTGTGCCTGGGACGGCGACCTGAGTTATCAGGAGTTAGACAGGAAGTCCTCGGCCCTCGCCCGCATCCTCTTCCGTCGAGGAGTGCGGAGCGGGGCGCTCGTGGCGCTATGTTTTGATCCGTCGCGGTGGACGGCGGTTGCCATGATGGCCGTCTCCAAGGCTGGGGGGGTTTGGTTCTTTCTCGAGCCCAAGCATCCCGTCAATCGCTTGCAACAGATGTGCCACACCGTAGAGGCAAGGATCGTTCTATGCAGCAGATCACAGGCGAGCGTGGCACATGAGTTGAGCGGCGAGCAGATGATGGCACCGCTCATCATCGAGGAGCCCGTATTGCAAGAGGATCCTGGTGCAATGGATCTCGAGCTCGTCAGCCCAAGTCGCCCCGCGTACGTGGCCTTCACCTCCGGCTCGACTGGCAAGCCCAAAGGCGCCCTCATGACACATCAGGCGGCGGTGGCGGGCGTCTTGCACAATGCGAAACCCATGCAGCTCGCCCGGACCTCTCGCGTTTTGCAATTCGCCTCCTTCGCCTTTGATATCAGTTTCCTCGAACATTTTTGGGCGCTGCTCCTCGGGGGGTGTCTCTGTATCCCGTCCCCGCAGGACCGCCAGAACAACCTTGCCCACGCGGTTCAAGTCCTGCAGGTCAATTGGACGTTCCTCACGCCGACCGTGGCACGTCTCCTGGAGCCCCCGCAGCTGTCATCGCTGCAGACGCTCGTGCTGGGTGGTGAAGCTGTCACCCAAGCAGACCTCGATATGTGGCTGCCCTACGTGCATTTATCCGGACTCTATGGGCCGGCGGAGTGCGCCGTGGGGCTGGCCGTCCAACCAGACTACAGCCGGGTTGAGTCGGCCGCCAATATCGGATTTCCCTTCTCGGTCGCTTGCTGGGTCGTCAATGAGGAGGATTCGACGCAACTGGTCCCACGGGGGACGGTCGGGGAGTTGGTGGTGGAAGGACCCTCGATCAGTGAGGGCTACATCAACGCCCCCGAGCAGACCGCTAGGGCTTATCTGACTAACCCTACCTGGATGCCCGCCGCGCGTCACTCAACCAAAAAGCTGTATCGCACTGGGGACTTGGTGCGTTATTTGGATGACGGCTCTTTGCTCTTTCTGGGCCGGAAGGACACTCAGGTCAAAATCAATGGGCAGCGCATCGAGCTGGGGGAAATTGAGTATCACACTCGCGCGGTCCTCAGCAGGGACCACTTGCGCCCACCCCCGGTCGTGGCCGAAGCCATGGCGGTAAACGGACGCCCTCTCGCAGTGATTGCCTTCTATCAAGTCGAAAGCTCCTGCCAGGACCCCGACCACGTGCAAGAAGACATCTTCCTGCCACCCGATCAGGGGTTCGTGGGACGGAAGACGAGCTATCAGTCGCAGCTCCGGGATCATCTGCCCGAGTACATGATCCCCACCAGTTTCATTCCGGTCCTTCGGATGCCGTCCACCATGTCGGGGAAAACTGACCGCAAGACGCTACGAGAGAAGTTTGCGCAGCTGTCCCGGGACCGCGTCAAGGCGTACTTTGTGGACGGAAATGGGGGGAGCAGCAGCAGCGGCAGCGGCATGATAGAAAGAATGCCGACCACGTCTCTAGAGAGGCGGATGCAGAGGCTCTGGGCGGCCACGCTCAAGCTCGATCTGGAGGAGGTCGGCCGGAATGATCCCTGGATGTCACTCGGAGGCGAGTCCCTCGCAGCGATGCGGTTGGTCGCTCAAGCGCGCAAGGAGGGTATCACCGTCACTGTGCCCGACATTTTCCGCCACAAAACCATTGCAACCTTGTGTCAACATGTGTCGGTCCGCTTAGACGCCGAGATTATTGAGAGCATTCCGCCATTCTCGCTGCTACCGTGCCATGGAGGCTCGCCGAGGGTCGACGAGCTCCGAAAGTCCGCCGCCCAGCAATGCGAGCTCACCCCCGAGGAAATCGAAGACCTCTACCCATTCACTGCAATGCAAGAGGCAGTGGTCATCCCACCGGCCACCCTAGGCGTCAACTACACCCTGCACCTCGACGTCAAGCTGCCCTCTGAGCTGGACCTAGAGCGCCTGATGCGGGCCTGGGATACGGTGGTGGCTGCCAACTCCATCCTCCGCATGCGCGTCGTGCGATTACCAGCCGATGAGAAGGAAACGATGGTGCTCGCTCAGACCCGCCCAAAGGTCTCCATGGAGCCTCTGTTTCCTGACCGATTCGCTCCCGGAGTCGATCTCTGGGGGCTGGGGAGGCCACTCGTCCGGGTGGGGGTTGCGCCAGGACGGCTGGTGATGCTCATCCAGCATGCGCTCTACGATGGTCATTCGCTGGGACTGATTTTCCGCGATCTTGAACAGGCCTACCGGGGCCAGCCAGTGCCGGCTGTCTCCTTTAGCTCCTTTGTGCGCTGGTCGACCGAGTGGCAGGACGGCTCCCTGAAGCAACAGTATTGGCGGGAGAAATTTGTGGGCTTCGATGGCCGCGTGTGTCCACCTCGCGTCGCTGACTCTGAAGTCAGCTGCATCGAAAGCCGTCATCTCTGGGGCTCGCTGAATTTCAAGCTTGATGACTTCACCGTCACCAGCAAGATTCGGGTCGCGTTAGCGGTGGTCCTTTCATGGCATTTTGGTCTTTGTGACCTCGTGCTGGGGGGGATCTATGCCCGTCGTGGGGCCCCGATCCCAGGCATCATGGAGGCTGCGGTGCCCACCTCTGCTATTTTGCCCGATCGAATCCGCCTGGATCCCACCCAGTCGCTCCGGGCCAATATCGACCAGGATCACGAGAATATTCTAACCATGATGCCCTACGAGGGAACCCGGCCGAGTCAGATTCGGGACCTGAGTGAGGCCACGCGGGCAGCCAGTCAGTTCCAGGCCATTCTGGCGGTCCAGCAGGACAACTCCTCGCTCTATCCAGAGATCTTTCGAAACCATGAGATGGGTTATTACGGCCCTGTCACTGCCCACAACCTCATGATGCAGTGCTTTTTGAACCCGCAGCGCTCATCGGCCCGGGTCTCCCTGCGCCTCAGTGAGCCGACGATGCAGCAGACCACTGACTGGGACCGCTTCCTGGGCCACTTCGAAGCCGTGGTGGATGCGATTCACCGAGATCCGGAGATATCATTGAACATGCTGCGTCAGCAGCTGGGGGCGTAGTGGTTCGATCGAATGAGTGTTCCTTCTTTTAGGGCTGGGTTTTGTAGTCACTCAGGACGACCCCAGCGTAATGATTGATGGTGTGCTTTTCAGCCTTTTAGTGTATTTGCAGCCTAATCTCAGTGATTTGACTTGTTCTTTGTACTTCGAAGACTACCTTACCTTTCCAGCTCACGGAGCATACATTTACCTTTTGGCTCCCCCTTCGCAATTGTAGTCAGTACCTGCTCTGCGAGGACACGGTCACCCCTAGCAAGACATAGTCAGTAGAAGTAAGTAATAACGAGGAGTCACTGTTTCGCCTCTTCACAACAGTCTTTGCGATTAAATCTTTAACTTTTTGGCCATAAGATTATCCAGCTATATATATACACCGTCTACTTGATATACGACATTATGTCTTAAGAAGCAGTAACCCCTCATCCCCTCTCCCCTGTCAACGCGATTAATTATACTACATCTGTGTACAGTCCTTGATGTTGGTAGAAGGGCAAATGGCCAGCCTTAGGGTAAAGGAATAGCGCCATGGCAAATTAGTGGTCCATTTTCCAGCCCAATGTGACTGAACTTGCATAGAGAACGATCGTGATTCCTTCTTCGATACAATCACATTGACCATGCGTATTACAGCGAGATCTTCGCTTTTGTGAAGTCCTCAAACGCGCGGACAGTACTTTCGCGGGGAACGTCTCACGCATTCGATCCTTTATATATAACTACCGCATGGATGATCTCGATTCTTCAGAGGACTACTCACCCGCAAGATAAGAGGTCTCCAAAGCAACTATTACCCAGAATCGCTTCGCCGCTCGTAGGCTAGTGCTAGAAACCACCGAAACAGTGCTTTCACAGCTTCATATCTCTCGACAAAAACCATCAGTACCCAGCAGGTGGCTAAGCAGAGGATCTAGCCCTTTCACATCACAAACACCAAAAAGACCTAGAACTGCCTACGATTCAAGCAAGCACTAATCCTTGAAGTACAATCTCGAAAATGCTAGATCAAATTGTGAAGAATAGTTATCTATCTCTCCAAAGCGCTGCATTATTTGCGTAGGACAGCAGGGGGGGCCCTCGTGCTGAGGCGAGTCATAGATAGCTTTGGACCTCTTTGCCAGAGGCAGTCCTCTTCGTGAGTCTAGTTTGCACATAATAAAAAGAAGCGAGTCTTGAAGTTTCGTAACATGGTCATGAACATTGCTTCCCCCCCCCCTCCCCTAATTGTTTGCGTCTACGTATCTATGCAGGGAGCCCTAAAGCCTGCCGCTGCCGGTCAATTACTGTCGTCTCTTTTCTCTGCACCCATTCCGCTCTCACTCATTGCACAAAGCTCTTGAGCATGCAGTCATCTGGGGGCGGGCCGATGAGTTTTCCACTGAGTCGGGCATAGCGGTAGGTGCTCATCGAGTACAAGTAATTGCCGGCAAAGCTCTCAATCAACCGCTTGAGATAGAACTTTTGGGTCTCGCTCATCTCGGGCAGCGCCATCAACCGAACATATTCCTCTCGGACCTGGCGTTCACAGTCCCACAGGACGGATCGGAGAATTGCCTTGGCAGAGCTCGGGGGCACCGAGAGAACCTGCTCGATCATGTGGACCGAATTGTGTAGAGGGGCGCCCTCTTGCTGGTACTCTCGGAGTTCCTTTTCGTAACTGTACAGGTCGTTGATGTAGAGACAGTGTCGAATGTAGAGCTTCTCGATCCACTCGAAGACCGGCCGCTCGGCGGGGTCGTAGAGAGTGGCGGCGCCAAAGCGCACAGCCGTGACCATGAAGCTATCCAAAAGTCAGTCCATGGGAATGTAACCGATGGTAAGGGGAGGCGGTGGGCTGGTTCCTACTCGTAGGCGATGTCTAGTTCTCGAAAATCCCGGAAATCCTGCCATGTGGCGTGGGACTTGTTGGGCTTCGTGCTGTTGTCCCGAGAGTAACGCGCCCAGCGAACGGTGTCCTGCATCAACTCCAGTCCCAGGATTGGGTCGAGCGCGATGGCTTCCCGGCAGAAGTCGAGGAAGATATCATTGCGCGACTCGCCCTCGAGTTCGTTGGCCTGGAAACTGTCTGTGTCCCACCCTTCGAGGATGGAGTTGCCCTCGACGTTGGCCCGGGATTCCATGACATCTGCAACCCAGCACCCAGTGGTTTCAGTAACAGGGAACATCAGAGCAGGAGATATTAACAGAACTTACCATCGTGCAGGAACAGAAAGACAATCGACTTGGTGAGGACGCGGATCCGCGCCACATCGGAGACGGCATACAAGTAAATGCAGATGGTCACTGCCGTCTCCACCAGTTCCATCATCTTGCGGCGCTGGTCGCTCGTCTTGAGCTTCTCTGGAATCACCGCGCCGGCGCCTCGAGCCGCCATGACTTTCTCGATGAGTTCCAACCCGGCGGCCTCGGCCTCACGCCAGTGGATGCACTGCGGAGTTCCCTTCATCGTGGAGAACCAGGGCAGTCCCACGGCAACCGGATCAATCAAAATGGTATTCTCCGGGGGGACCAGCGTCTTCTGCGGGTCCAGGAAGTCAAAGGGATCGTGCTCCAAGACCGGAATCTCGCTCTTCTCCTCCTGCACGTCGTAGGCGTAGATGATATGCCGGTAATGCTTGGGTTTGTATGGAGCCGGTTTTGGAGCAGCCACCAGGGCATTCTTGGAGATAGTGGTCCCATCCTGTGGCCGGCGGGAGGGAGCACCTTTGATGCTCTTCAGCCATTCAGGGACTCGGATGTGGATTTGCACAATCCAGAAACGAGCAATGAGGTCGGGAATCATCATGGAAATTGGGTCGGGGCGAGCAACGAGCACTGAAAAGGAGGAATCCGGCTGTCTCGTGTTTCCTAAACACTCGAGTCAAACTTGGGGATTGGCGGAGCTGCAGTCATGAAGCGACGGCTTGAAGATGACGGAGACAGAGAGAGACACACCAGCCGAAAGATATCAGAGAGAGGCAGAGGAGATGGATGGACTTTAAGTCCATCGTGTGGAAGACACGGTGACCACCAGGGCGGGACTTGATCGTGGCATCTGTAGTCCAGTGGACCTTGCGTTGCCAACTTTCACCATCCAGGACCAGATGAGGCCATGACTTGCAAGCAGACAGGGATGGGTCTTCGCCACGCTCTGGCTGGCATGTGCAATGTGCCAGTGGTATGAGAGGCAAGGGCAATGATAATGATTGACGTTGACCGCAAGGGGCGAGGATCAAGTTACGGTGTACGATGCAGAGCTGAGAGATAACGGAGAGGGGGAGGTGGAGGGAGCTCTCTTCTTGATTGCAGCTTATCTCTCTCTATCTCTGTCTCTCTCTTGTCCACATTCTCCGGGTCTTTAAGCTTGTTCTTCTTCCTTGATCTTCCGTCAAATCATAGTGTAGAGAAATTACAGCGGCATTTCCCAGGCCATCCCATTCCCTCTCCATCCCCTCCCCTCGTCTGAAATCATCATCATGAGCATTGCCATGGACACCTTTCTGGTGGTGGTCGCTACCACTGGCCTGGGTCTCTGGTTTTTTCTTTCGATCATCTGGCGTGGCAAGCTGCCACCAGGGCCTCCGCCGAAGCCCATTATCGGCAATCTCCATCAATTCCCCAAGGTCAACCGCGCGCAGGCCTTTGATCAATGGCATCGGACGTATGGGCCTATTGTGGGGTTGAAACTAGGGCTCAAGAAGCTCATTCTGATCGGAAATTACCAGGTGGCCCGCGAGTTGCTGGACCGGCGTGGAGCCATCTACAGTTCACGGCCTCGAGTGGTGATGGCCGGAGAAATCGCCAACCGGGGCAATCATACAGCCTTGATGCCCTATGGATCCAAGTGGAAGCTTCACAATCGCGTGCACAGCACCCTGATGAATCCCCGCATGGTCCAGCGGTACCAGTACCTCCAGGACATCGAGAGCCGACAGCTGCTCGACGACCTGCTCAAGGGCTCCACCTCGGATTTTGGCGCTCGCATCCATCGCTACTCCAGCAGTTTGTTATTCGCCCTCGCCTACGGCCAGCGGCTGCCCACCAGCGATGCCTTTGAGATCCAGGAGAACGCGCACATTGCCCATCACTTCATCGAGAATTTGGCCGCGGGTCGCTGGCTGGTCGACGCCTTCCCGGTGCTCAACTACCTCCCCACTGTGCTAGCCCCCTGGAAGAAGATTGGCGACCAGCTCTATCAGCGCAAGTTCGGCTTGCTGCAGCGGAACACCGCGCTCGCCTTGGAGAAGCCCGGCTGGAACTGGACCAAGCACTTTCACGGGCCCAAGAAGCCGGCCGATGCGAGCTGGGAAGAGCTACTGAACATCATCGGGGTGCTCTACGAGGCGGGCGCCGACACCACCACCTCTGCCCTCGAGGCGTTCGTCATGGCGGCGGTCTTGCATCCCGACCCTGTGCGCCGCGTGCAGGCGGAGATCGATGCTCTCGTCGGCGGAGCGGCGCGGATCCCCAACTTCGACGATGTGCAGCAGCTCCCCTACATGAACGCCTTCGTCAACGAGACGATGCGGTGGCGGCCCATTGCCCCGGAGGGGGTGCCGCACAGCCTCATGGAGGAAGACGAATACGAGGGATATACCCTGCCCAAGAACTCCATCGTGATCGCCAACCAGTGGCAGATGGCCATGGACCCCGCCACCTTCACGGACCCGCAGGCCTTCCGGCCAGAGCGTTGGCTCGAGGATCCCAAATTGCCCATCAGTGCCTTTGGGTTTGGGCGCCGCGCGTGTCCGGGTCGCCACATTGCCATGAATTCCATGCGGATCGTGATGTGTCGTCTGCTGTGGGCCTATGACTTTGATCATGCCTACGAGCATGGGCAGAAGGTCCCTATCGACCCCGATAATTTCGTTCGCGAGGGAGTCCTCTCCAAGCCTGCCCCCTTCAAAGCCCGCCTGCGCGTGAGAAGTCCTGCCCATGAGAAAACCATTCAATCGGCGCTCCGGGAGAGCGAGCAGGACGAAGACAAGATCTTGGCCCATATTGCTGAGGGCCTTGCATGAGGTTGGGTGGCATTAGGGCAAGGGAGCGGGGGTTGAGATGAAAACTTGAGCAGGCAGGGGCTGGGAGCAGATCATGAGGGGATTAGGTTTCAAGCAATAGAGATACATGAATGCAATCTATCAAGAAGATAAAACTGTGGATAATATTTCCGAGCAATAGTGAGATACGGAGACGAGCTGAAGAGTACGATGGCTGGCTTAGAGTTTAAAAAGCAAGGGCGTGACATGAGGCACATTCTTCGTCCTTGCTTTGACGCATGACTGGAAAAGGGGAGGTGAGATTCCCTCGATCCCCCTTGGAATCGACTTGCATTGCCACGAAGCACCTGCTGTGCTGTGCGAACTCATAGTAGCGGTGAAGATGACTTCCCACCACGCATGAGAAGAAGAACAACTACTCCTCTGCCCCCGTGGCTTCACCGCGACTGCTCATACTCTTTTTTCAGCGAACCCATACTCCCACCCATACTCCCACTCGCATCCGACACACTCTGATCAGCTTTCACAATGACTCAAGGGACCGAAGAGAAGACCTATAGCGAGGTGGAGTTTCTGACGATTGATGGCCTCAAGCTCAGAGGGCGGCTCTATCTGGGCGAACCCAAGGGCCCGGCGTTGGTCATGGCTCACGGGGTGGGTGCCCCCTTTCCAGAAATCTCTATCAGAATCTGACTGGCTAATGGAGTGCATCGGTTGCAGTTCAACGCAGTCAAAGAAATCGTCATCCCGTGGGCGGCCGAAGTCTTCCAGAAGAATGGGATCAGCGTGCTGCTCTTTGACCCTCGCAACTACGGCGAGAGCGAAGGCATGCCCCGCCAGGAGGTCGACCCGGAGAAGCAGATCGAGGATTACTTCGATGCCGTGACCTTTCTGCGGCAGCAGCCGGACATCAACCCGGAAGCCATCGGGCTGTGGGGGGTATCGACCAGCGGAGCCACCGCCATCGGGGCAGCCTGCTTCGACAAGCGAGTGCGATTCATCATCTCGGTGTGTCCGCTCATCGAGGCAACCTTCCGCGAGGAGATGGTTCAAGATGTGATGGCGCAGATTATCCGCGAGCGCGAGGCCTTCGTGGCGGCGCGCACCACGGGCCAGCAGTCGCCCCAGCCGACTCTCGTGCCCATGATCGACAAGGTGGGCGTCAGTCCAATGGGCTTCAATGCCATCCACGGCAAGAATTTCTACGAGGAGATGCCGTGGTTCAAGGAGACGGCGCCCAACTTCCGGCCACACACCACCCTCCTCACCTACTACAAGATGCTGCGCTGGCATCCCCTCAGCAACATCCAATTCCTCAGTCCCACCCCGATTCAGATGCTGATCCCCGGCAAGGATGATGTGTGCCCCACGCAGGAGCAGCTAGACTTCTTCGAGACCATCCCGGGTCCCAAGCGGATGGAGTATTACGAGGATCGCAGCCATCATGGTCTGTTGCTGGGCTCTGCCTTTGAGGGCGTCATGGAGGCGCAGGTGCGCTTCGTCCGGGACGTGCTCGCAGGGCAATTCGCGGTGAAGAGCGGAAGTCAGTGATGGGGGTTTGTCATGTATCTAGCTCGCAGACATGACGATATCGGATAATCAAATCAAATTGCAGCTTCGGAGTCAATCAATTGGGGCAAATCTGGATTCAAACCTTGGATGTACGTACGTATACCGTGATCAGTGTGGATTCATTAGGTTGAGACACATCCATAGCTTCCCCTGGGAATGGATTGGATCAATCCACCTCCGCGCCCGGGCATAGAAGACCTGGAAACGAATTTCAGGGAGACAGTGAATATCAGGAATTTAAACTCATGTCTAGCCAGCGAGGAAGGGTTCAGAGCTAGGGCACGGAGGACCAACATCAAGCGATCTCTCGTCGTTATACGCGTGGCTTGCTAACATCATCTATCTATCTCGCACTCCATACAGATCTCCCTCCAAACCCAGGTGGATGGGTTAGTTGGCCCAGTGGTCTTTGAGAATCTCCACCACCACCTGCGACTTCATTTCAATCAAGGCATGATCGCGGTAGTCAAGCTTGGGACCTGTCGGGCTGACGAGACGCAGATCCCACCGGCTAAACAGCGTCGAAATCATCGTGTACATTTTGAGCCAGGCCAGACTGGAGAGTCAATTAGCCAGAGATCCAGAGTTTGGGAGTCATCACCAGGAGGAACTTACTTCGTGCCGAGACAACTCCGACTACCCTTACCAAAGGCAATCATATTGCGGTCCATGCTCTTCGCATTCTCGCCCATCCAGCGTTCCGGCAGGAACTTCTCGGGTTCCGGATATAGCTCTGGGTCATCCATGATGACCCGGGAGCTGATCGAGAGGATTGTCTGGAAAGAAAAGAGCACATGAGCCGCGAAACTCCAGGGGGATAAACAGAGCCATAAAGGCCAACAGGAAATACGTACGCCGCCAGGAACAAACTTCTTGTTAAGCTGCATACCCTCCGGGGGCACCACACGAGGCAAGCGTCCCGGGAACGGGCTCGACATGCGCAGCGACTCCTTGATCACCGCGGTCAGGTACGGCAGCTTGCGCACCTCTCGGTAGTTGTACTCGTCCTTGATAATGGCGGAGGCTCCCCGTAACTCCTCGCGGAGGCGCTGCAAGACACGGGGATTGCTGAGGACGAAAAAGATGGCAAAGGTCGTGGCGGTACTCGTCGTATCCGTGCCGGCAATGGCAAACAGAAAGGCCTGATCAATCAAATCACTGTTGCTGGGGACTTTGTAGTTCTTGTCGGGGTTATCTTCCAAGAGGACATCGAACAGGGTCGGCCGGCCGTTTCTCATCTGCGTGATCCCCTTGGCCCGACGGGCACGCACCCTGTCGATCCATTGAATGCATTGCTGGTGAGCCAGTATCAGTGACCGAAACCCTAACAAAATTCATTCCCCAGAGATGGGGGTTCCAACCTCGCGAAAGTATGCATAACCCGGCACAATCTTATCGGTCAGGGTGTTGGGAAGCATCAAGGCAAACTGCGCAATCCACGGGGCATGCACCACTAGACAGACAGGTCAGCGGCCAGAGTCGTGTCACTGCTTCAGGGCAACCTTACTGATCCAGACATTTTCCACAAAGGTGTCCAAGTTGCTCAAAAACCGATCCGAGTAGTACCCATTGTTGACCAGGTCGAGCGTCTCGCCAAAAATGAGCTCGCAACTGACGTCTGTCTGTTCACCAGCAAGTCCCCTGCATCAGCTCTCGCTCCCTCGATTACTGGACAGCTTGATCGGTTGACACTCACCGTGATGCACCGCAGGAAATGCATGACGTTGAACTGGTTGCCGGCCTTGCTCGACCTGGCGGCTACGACGTCGGTGGCCTTGCGGACCATATCGTACATCTCATCCGACATCCCATCCACCGCGGTTCCAGTAAACATGCCCGCAATCGTCGTCCGCAATGGCTTGTGCCGATGAGGATTGGTGATCGTGGCAATGGAGGTGGCAAAGCCAAAGGCCTCGTAGAAGTAGGGTGCCTTGTAAAAATTGGTATTGACCTTGAATACTCTGCCATAAAGAGTCAAGAGTCAGCCCTACATCGGAGAAGTTGGGGGATTAAGGGGTGACATACTGATGATACACCTCGACATCGTTAACGTGCAGGTGATTGGGCGCGATACGGACCACCGAGGACTCTATACTTGTTCGTCAGCCGCTTGCAAGCTTTCGACCGGAGAGGTGCAAAGAGTCCTTACTATAACGCTTGTGCAGGTCCGCTACTCCTTCGAGGAAGGTTCCATCCTGGATCCAATCGTGCCAAAACTCCCAAAGGTGTGAAACCGCGGCGACTGCAGGGCCGGGAAACTTGCTGAGGGGATGGAAGAATAGGCGTTGCAAGTACTTGGTGAGCAAGACCACCAGCACCAAGCCGGCAATAATCGAGCTGAGATGGGACGATGCCATGAATGCCCTAACCCCCACCAGGCTGGGACTGTTCACGTCGAAGGCCTGCAACACCATTGTGGATGCGGTTCGATATTCGATACTTGCAACGGGGGATGGACTGGGATCAATGATAGGGCGGTGGGGAAGTAGGGCTTTTCAATCGACAACTGATTGATGGAAATCGATGGAGGTCAAACCAGCCCGTCTTCTCCGCCTGTCCCCCTCCTTACGCATAGCATTCCTGATCACCTTGCGTCTACAGAGGCTTGTATATTGCATGAACCTTGAGAATGCGGTGAATCCAAACCACGTCAGACCAACTGCAAGGGCTGCTGGTTATCATCTACAGACGACATTCGCGCCTTCGCCCCCCCCTTGCATTGCTGCCACAAGCCCCCCACCCCCCACCAACCCCCCCTGCCGGGTATCGCTCTTTCTCTTGTGATTATGCATGATTTTGGCGCATACCGACCTCCCTACCGAACCAGTCATCTGGGAACGGGACAGGACACGCCCTGGCCGAGGTGTGATATATATATAAGTCAATGGTTATCGTTCCGACGGGATCAGATTCATCGCCTGTTCTGTCGTCCCAGGAGCCGAACGGTACCCCTCCTCCCTCTTCTCCACTATCTCCACGCCATGAACGCCACCGAGCAGTCCCTTTTGCTTCCCTTCCTCACCAGTTTCTCGGAAGGTGCTGCTCTTTTGGGGAACGTGAAGGTGCTGAAAGGGATCCCCTATGTGGAAGATCGTCCCTATCTCGGGTGGCCGAGTATTCTCGGTTTCACCATTGCTTGTGTACGAGGATAATTCCTCCTGACATCCCCAAATTCATTCTGCAGGCATTGCTGACGCCTTGCGCACACAACCCGTCCAGTACTATGTGATTTATACCTTGTACGCCTTGTACCTCCACCCGTTGCGCAAGTATCCCGGCCCATGGCATCTCGCGGTCACCAACCTCCCCAACCGATGGTCGACCATTTCTGGCAACTCCTCCTACTGGTTGTACGATCTCCACGAACAGTACGGACCCATTGTGCGCGTGGCTCCGAACGAAATCAGCTACTCGGATCCTCAGGCGTGGCAGGACATCTATGGCCCGCAGCCGAATCAACGGCTGGGGATGCCCAAAGACCCCAAGTTCTTCAGCTCCTTTGAGGACAAGAAGACCGCCGCCTCGATTATCACCTCCCAGCCCAAGGACTACATGCGCATGCGCCACATCTACTCGTACGGCTTCTCGAAGCAGGTCATGCAGGCCAAGGAGCCCATGATTCAGGGCATCATTGACCGCGCGATGGAGGCGCTACGCCAGACCCACCAGCAGCCCCAGGATATTGTCCAGATCTTCCGGGCCACCGACTTCAGCATTGTCACGGAAATCGTCTTTGGCAAGGCGTATCATATCTTTGACCGGACGACGTATCAGCCCTGGTTCAAGAGCCTCATGGGTTGGATTCGGTCGACTGCCGTGATCACCGCGACTACCGACTACCGCTTGGGCAAGCTGGCGGCCTGGCTCTTCACCCCGCGCGATGTCATGAAACAGCGCAATGTCTACCTGAAGTATGTAAATGGCGAGATTGAGGAGCGTCTGGGCGAGTCGAATGATGGGCGGAAGGACGTGGTGCAGCTCATGTTCGAGACGACGGATCAACACCAGCTGGCCGAGTCGGATATTCGAGCCAATCTGCCCTTCATGGTGATTGCGGCCAGTGAAACCACGACGACGCTAATGAGCGGCATGATCGCACATCTGCTGAACTCCCCCGATGCCCTGCGCCAGCTCACAGCCGAAGTCCGCGAGCGGTTTCGCTCGCCCAGCGAGATCACCATCGCCACTGTGAACAACCTACCCTTCCTGAATGCCTGTGTCAACGAGGCCCTGCGCGTGTATCCCGCCGCTCCCACACAATTGCCCCGGGTCGTACCGGGCGTGGGCGCCACCGTCTGCAACCGCTGGGTGCCGGGGGGCACCAAGGTCTATGTCGCCCCCTACGCCACCTTTCGCTCGGCTGAGAACTTCTACCAGCCCGATGCCTTTCTTCCACAGCGCTGGCTGCCCGGGAACGATGAGTCCTTCGATGTGGATAAAAAGAATGCCTGGCGACCCTTTGGGCTGGGGGCGCATGAATGTCCCGGTCAAGTGTAAGTGGGCGAACTGACCCGATGAATGCTTTACCGCGAGCTAATTGAAAATTGTTTCCCAGCATCACCAACCTCATCACGCGGCTGATCATGTGCAAGCTGCTCCTCAGCTTCGACCTCGAGCTGTGTGCAAACAGTCGCGACTGGCTGGCGAAACAGCCCGTGTGGATTGTGTGGGACAAGCCCGAGCTGCTGGTCAAAGCCCGCCCCGTCGCCACCACCACTGCGTGAACTGGGAGAGTGAGGCCCCTGGGGACCCGCATAATGGCATAGGGGGAGGGTCAATTCATCGAGGCAGAGGCTATTAGACGGCAGGTAGAATCTATTTTCTTTAGTCGTGCATCGTAGAGAGTAGACTGAACCAGTCGTAGTATCATAAGCATCTCATATTATATTAAAAGTTAGGGCTTAGACTAGGCGGAACCTGCAAAGAAACGAAGACGATAAATACTTTTGCACCCCAACCCTAATCGATCCGGTCCTCTTTCAGGGCAAACAAGGCGGGCATCACCTCGGCAGCCTTGGTCTCGACCGCGTCGTGGTACCAGGTGTTGTTGATGACCTGCTGCAGGTTCTTGACCTTGGAGGCCGTGTGGCAGGCCAGCTCGTAACTGACATACATGTCCTCCACCGCGGTGGCAACGTAGACGGGGACCTCGTTCTTCGCCAGTTGCGCCTCGTCGTAGAGGGCACTCCAGTCGTTGCTGCGGGCCAGGATGTCGGCGACCGGCTTGAGGTCCTTCAGCTCATCGTAAGAATCAAACATGTCGGAGAAGATGGACTCCCCCGTGAACCAGATCTGGGCGTTGCGCTCATTCAGGCTGAAGCGAGGGTCGGCCTTGCGGCATCGGTCGGCACACCAGGCCCCAGCTTTGCTACATCCACCGAAACATGGTTAATGGCACGCTCCCCAAAGTCGGCCATGATGGGGGAATCGTCCTCTTACCCTTGGCAATACATCGGTTCTTGGAGGAGGGCGTAGATCACGTTTTGGGCCATTCCGGAGCCCTCGATCAGGTCCAGAGTGGGAACCGTCAGGAATTTGAACATGTCCAGATCGTTATCCGTGCGCTGGACGACGCCTATAAAAACCCATGGGATTGAGAAATTAGTCCTGCAACGGGCGTGTGGTGTGACAGCTCGAGTCCCCCCCGGGGTTCCTTCATTCCTTCTCTTTGCCTTATGGGATGGTGGAAGGGGCGAGCTGAGGCTGGGGGGAATGTTGGCGTGCGAAACTCACCATGAATGTAGTCAATGCCACCTGCACATCGTTAGTATCGCGTCTGTTCATCCTTGGATTGGAGCTACTGCTTACCGTGGAGGCCCAGCATGACTCCCAGCTGTTGAAACCGTTCGGGGGTGAGGGTGCCCTTGCTCAAGGCGACTTTGTTCTCCTTCAGGTACTTGATAATGCGCTTGACCCTGTTGACATCCTCGGGGTATTTCTTGTAGTAGGCTTCATTGCGTCGAGCGGCCACCGCTGCGTGATACGAGGCTCATCAGCACCAGGGCGCACTTCCGGGGAGGCGAAAGGAAATCATCATCATCATCATCATCATCTTACCAAACAATTTAGGAATCACCTGGCTCGGTTCGCTGACCAACGGGCAAGGTCCACCTCCAATGAAGACCTCCACCAACGACTTGGGACTGATTCCCCATCACGATCAGTTTCTGTCGGTCCACGACACTCCTGCGGGGGGGATTACTGACAACATAGAGACATAGGAGATGGCACAGAAGCCTCCGAAGCTGGCAGCCATGACACTCCACTTGCTTTGGTCGGCGGGAGCATCCTGATAGAGCAGCTTGCGCACCGCCTCACAGTCGCGGACGATGTTGTCGGCTCGGAAGCGCTTCATCAAGTCCGCCTGCTTCTTGTGGTCGCCCTGCTGGGTCAGGGTCTTGGCCGTGATGGGCGAGCTCTGCCCTGTTCCCCGCTCGTCGAGGAACAGCACCCGATAGCCCTTCTCGAGGATGCTGGGGAGCCAGGCATACTCCAGGGGGGTTTTGCAGCCCAGCCCCGGACCACCCTGCAGGTAGAGCATCCAGGGGAGCTCCGGATCATCGACGCCCAGCACACAGTGGATACTGCGCGCGAACAGACGCACCGTCCCTTCCTCGGGCTTGCTGTGGTTGAGGGGGACCTCAAAGCGCCATTCGGACGTGCGGCATTTGCCCGGCCCGTCGTGGGAGAACCGATCAATGAGCTTGGCTGGTGCAATGGACTGCTCGATGGCCATGGTGGGCGCTGGCTTGGTGAAGAATGCTTGCATCTTTAGCGAGAAGAGTCCTGGGAGTGGGATCAAGAGTGAACCTTCGTGTCTTGTGATGGTGGCTTGTAACACTTGGCTTCTTCCATTGCGCAGAGAAGCGCGTCGCTCTTTATAGCTGCCCCACGGACGCACAATGCCAGTGAACGGCCGTGCCAGTTCGTTCTCTTTGTGTCCGAATGCGCCAGGATGAAGGCCCAGGGTCCCAGAGTGATTGCCAGTTTGATCAGTGCAACCGTCACAGCAACCGGACTCTGTCCTGGGGGCTTTCACGGTCTTCCCATGATACCGTGACGGTAGCAGCTCGCAACTGGAGATCCACGCGTCAGACATGCATTACTGTTTTCAGGTGCAATGCACCTTGGAGATCATCTGTCAACCATGGATGATATATAGTATTCATCGAAATTCATTGAGATTCATTGAGGAATCAGCCCTGGCTGAGTCATGACGTGATGGACTGTCGCTGACTCAGCCATCCAGCCGGGGTTTTCGCCCTGATTTTGATTTTTGCCCTGTCTTTCGCCCCAAGACTCAGGCTGGCAACTGCAGTACAACTTGTCCTTACAGTGCAGTCTTCTAGAATATGTATTCGACCCATTGGCACTGTGAGCGAGCGGAGAACCTGACACACACATCGTCAATCTTGTGGTCTGCTGGGCCCGGCGAGTCTTCGTCGATTTCTTCGGAATTTTGTCTCAGAATCATGTCTCAGACCCTGCATTCGGCAAATTGCAGAAAAGCTCTTCATCCAAAGGTTCTCTCTATTGTTCTCTGAATGAAGAGGTCGCCGTAAACGGTAGATCACTGCTCCCCAGGTCCCCTACAGTATGTCATAGCCTGCTCTGGACCGTGGCCCGTTTCCTGCAAGGTTACATTCTCAGACCCCACGAGCAAAGCTGGGTTTCAAGCCCAAAACCATGGCGTTTCGTCATTGAATTGGGCCTGAACGACGGTCCACCGCTTCGTTCGCGACACCTCGCCCTAAATCTCAAGCGATAGTGATGAGATTATTACGGAATGCAATGGGCAATAGGATCTCACCACGGATGATCTAATTGTGTCAAGATCTCCGCAGAGCCCTACTGGATAGTCCCAATGCGCGATGAGTACCGTCATCGACCTTGTGTCTCAATGTGCTTGACACTCGGGAAAAATATCCTCGTCGAAGATAAGATGATTGGACAACTGAAGAAACTGCAACCTCAGGAACCCACCTCCGTGGGCACAACGTAGGGTTTAGGGTGAAGCATCCACTGATTCTCACTGTAAGGACACGTTGAGAGACTCGGATCGCCCCCCCTTCCGGCAAGGATGGTCAAGTCCCTGGTTATCCTAGTCAGCAACGGTGAGAAGCTTCTGTAAGACACCCTAGAGGGTTATACATGAATTGTCCACTCCTTGCTTTGGGTGATTGACAAGAGCTAGAAGAGTCAAAAGATTCTCACAAGCGGATTAGTACTATCGAGGTAGAAGAGGAATAGATACTTTATTGCATCTCGTTCAGTCGGCTGTCCGACTCTCGGATTTCTTTATACTAGATTACCCATATCCATGATATACAAATCATCAGAGTTCTGCTACAATTTACATTATTGATTATATAGCGACGACAGAGGCCCGTCCAATTTTTTCTGATCCGTCCTGTACGCGGTCATCGAACGGCACGAGAGAAACAAGTGAAGACTCTGCGCCTTTTTGAGGATCTCTCAGATCTATCAGGCCGCCCAAGGCACCACTGGCCGAAATAAGCACAGATAATTTATGATACTATCTACGGGGAACCAGCGTTGGCCTCCTTGTCCGCCTCCACCGCTTCCTCCAGAAGCACACTCATCTCCAAGGCTCGGGTCTCGGCGTTGAGATATTCTTCCAAGAGGACACCCATGCGGCTGTCGTTTGTCCGAGATGCTTCGCGACTCCCAGTCATCGTCGTCGCGGTCTGCGCGGAACTCATATTCCCAGCCAGAGTATTTTCCATGAATCACCCCGTACCACCATGCCACCACGGGAGTGGTACTGTGGACCAGGAAAGTATCCTCAGCCTCATAGGTAAAGATTTCGAGTTCGCAATAGCTCGCCCTTACTTTCGCGACGGATCACCCCATAGAGATCTCTGGGCCCGTCGCAAAACTTCTTGTTCCCCTGAAAGGCCCGGGCCAGAGCCCGCTGCGCTTCGACGGGCCAGATCGTCTCGGTCTCTTTTTCCACGGTTCCCAGGCGCGCTGCAGTAATCGATAATGGGGAGCACAAACCATGGGGTCCTTCGTGGGTGATAGTCGCAAAACACCGGGTCTTCCATACCTCTTCGCCCACACTATGCTTCCCGCCCCTGAGTTCGATGATTCCAGTCTTTGGACCGATGGCGTTGAGTTCGAGGCGGACAATTTCAAATCTCCCCATGGTGATCACCAGGTCTTTACAGGATCTGCTTCCGTGAGCTGGTGACAATATGCTATGGAGTGGTTTTAGGACGCTTTTTGTAAATGCCAGGACACTCACCTGGGGTTCTTCATCATCCATATCAGTCAACTCATCATGGTGCTTGGTTACCTTTGACTGCTTTCTCTTTGTTGTTTGGAAGGTAAGTGAAATCAACCGATTCATAGCAATCTTCTTGCTGGTGGCGGTGAAGATCAATGTAGCTTATAACGAGTCTCGGGGTGAATTTGTCGCTGAAAGCTCTTCACCTAGGCACTCAATGTAGTTTGCCCGTAGAACGGGGGCTAGCATCACCCCATAATGCACAATTGAGCAATGGATCCAGGTCCAGAGGTACCAGTACTAAACGCAGCAGATTTCAATACATTCCCAAAGCTGTCTACTGTATAAGCCTAGCCCTAATCATACACTGAGCATTGCTCTCAGGGGGCCTGCTGAGGGGATGGATGTCTGCACACCACCACGCGCAAGATACCCTCGCCCAGAAAGAACCGATATCGAATTGTCAGGGAAATAAGTACACGGGCCATGGGTCAAGCTGTAGAAAAGTGCTCTCTCAGGGCCATGATCGAAGGCGTAAAGAAGTATTCGCCGCCTTTCTGGTCCACCCAAGGGCTAATCCCCAGGTTCAACTTGACGGTCTTGTCGGGATTGACTCCATCATACAGACTGATGTGACCCTCGGGGTGATCGGAACGAAGCCTCTGGTTGACGAATGGATCCATTCCAGGGCCATCCGGGAAGGTCTTTGTCTTGTACTCGGGGAAGGAGGCGTTGCTTGCCCACCCTGTGTTGATCAGTACCGGTTCATGCATTATTTATAACCTGGCCGGGATCTTCGTTTCCACTTACGGGTCATGAGGAAGTTGAATCCATCCCGGATCAAGCTCTGGTAGCAGGTGAAGTAGATGCCTCGGTGCTCGATGGTCTTTCGCAGCCTCTTCTCTTCATCGGTGAGCTCTGGTCCAAAGGTAATGCCGCGACGGAGAATGACGCTCGCATCTTCCTCCTGGCCTTCTGCCTCTGATTCATCGCTATCCGGGTCGGGAAGCGCGGTCTCATCGCCATCCTCCTCCGTCCCCACGTCGCGTTTCTTGTCGGAGCGCGGACGCATCTTGCGAATGTGGGCGGCAAACGGGCAGCCTTTGATGCTCTTCTTGGGGCGGAAGTCAAAAGAGTTGTTGAAGGCCAACTCGGGCTTGTCTTCATTGTAGGCGTGCGCCACGGGGGCTCCTATCTGGGGGTCAGTCTTGAATCATTCCGCTGCGACGGGGCGAATGGAAGCTGGAGCATATATACCACTCTTCCATCGGCCCATTAGATGAGCCCCCAGCTTCTCCGCTCCATGGGGACCGGCGTAATTGTTTCCTGGAATCTGCCCGGCCTTCTCCTCGAGGAACTTCTCGAATTCGGGCACCTTCTGGTCGAGCTGCCGGAAAACCAGAAAACTGCCCTCCTTGGCCCACGCCGGCCCTCTGTTCTTGTTGGGGTCCCCCTCATGGCCGAGAAAGATGTATCTGCGGCCTCGTCAGCTTCCTGGTGATTTGATTTCAGGCGGAGATGTGAAGCAACATACCCTGGCGGACACGCGTGCGGTTCGCCCTTGGCGGGCTTGGGATCTAATCCTTTGATCTTGGGCTGCGAGATATGGTCTTCATAACCAAAGCTGGGAACAGACCGGTCAGTTCAGTGCCACCCTTCCATGCAGATCCGTGGGATCCTACTGTTCTTTGCCCCGATTGGCCCCCGGGCGGGTCTGACCATCTCGCCGGAAGGCGACTTTCATACTGGCTTCGTTGGCATCGCCGATGTAAAAGGCATCCTCGATGTCCACGATCTTCCGGCGGAGGGCCTTCGCATTGTGTGCCGCCACGATGAAGACCCCATCGGTCCGCCAGCCCCAGCGTTCCAGGGGATCTTGCTTCTCCAGATTGGCGGCGGGGGCTCGGAAATCGGGATCGAGGGCGGCGGGACTGTCTGCTCCCTCGTAGACGAGATCGTCGAACATGCCTTTCTCGAACAGCCCTTCGTTGATGCGATCGCGGCAATACTCGTCGGGGTCGTCCTTCTGAATCTTGGCGAATTCGACCTCAACCTCGGGTTTCTCGACCTAGAGACATTCCCGTCAGACCAGATAAACCCTGATCCTGTAGCCATTAGCAGGGGAAGTGGAAGCCCACCTTCAGCAGGCCCATATGGGTGAAGGCGACATTGATCGCGGTGAACGGCACTCGGTAGGGCTCGGGAACGTCGCGTCGGGCTGCGGCGGAGGCTTCTTCCAGCTCTCCTACCCCCCGGAGGTGGTCTTCGCACTGCTTCCCGGTGGTGATCTCCCCATGGTCCAGCAGGGTCCGGAGATGCTTGCGGAACTTGGCCCTGTCGGTGATCCGGAAAAAGAGATAGGATTCAAAGTGCTTGGGCAGACGGGGCCAAATGCTGCCCTGGATGTTGTCTTTGTCGACCCCTTTTTGCTGCTTGACGCTGGCCATTGTGATGCACGACTTGTCTGTGTCTCGGGATCCCAGCTTGTCGGTGGACACCTGGACCGAACCCTTTTTATGTGCGCTGTCGCAACTGAGCCCGCCCTCGGCCTCAGCTGGTCGGTTACGTCGATCGCGTTGCGAGTGAAGAGCTCCCATTCGAGCTCCCTCGAGGTGACCTCTCGTAACCCCTCCCTTTGCCATGGAGAGTTCGTCATACCCCTCAGCTGCCGGATCATCGATCTTCACCTGAATAATCGTGAGCAAATGGTTGGGTGGTTGGTCGAGGACAGCCCCACGGGTGAAACTGATCTATCGAGGTGATGCGTGTCGATCGATCCCCTTTGTCGCTGGGACGAACTGTCGATCGGGCCCCATCGAGCTGAACTGTGGAGACGGCTGATGGATCTCAGCGACCAGCGGGTTTGGCCTCGAGTGTTGCTGAGGGGGATTGTCTGCTACAATCAGTCTGGCTGGGATTACAATCGAATATTTATGTGGTGTAGTGTAGTGTAGTGTAGTAATACAGTACAGTATAATACTTATACCACTGCATGTCGTACTGTCATCTGTCAAGGGGGGACTGAACCATGGAAAGAAGAGCAGCTTGAAGGACCGAACCGCCCGCTCGGAATCAAGAAGCAGAGACCCAACCATGGATGGTCCGGGAGGGAAGCGCCTTGGCAGATCCACCCCGATCGGCGATCCAAGCAGGTTTGCCGAACCACATCAACATCAACGAAGGAAAAATCACGCATTGCCCTCCATACTCCATACAGTTACTCCCTACTATTATTCCCTACTACTTCCGAATACCTCCTTCGGACTACCCGATGAACTCACCTCTGCACCTCCATCCCAAATGTCGATCTTCACCCCGTCATTGCGACGGTGGCGAGCTGAATCTCCACCCTCATGACAGCCACTGACCGCATCCTCGCCCACTCCGAGTCCTTTCAACCTATTTATAACACCCACAATATTCTTTGGGAGGTACGGTTGGTAGCTCAACTTCATCTCATCCCATTCACTCCTCACCAACGGCATTGAACATTGAAAATGAAGTTCCGGTGGGTGACTGGCCTTTTGATGGGGGCAGTCGCCGTCGACGCCTTCATGCCCCCCGACTACGCCTACGAGTCCTCCCAGGCCGACGAGGTAGATATCGCCAAACAGTCCAGCGGAGTGGTAAAATATCAATCGCCGCCCGCGGATTCCTACCTCCTCCCCAAGACCAACTCCGAGAACGCCACCGAGAACTGGCGGGTCACTTGTTCCAGCCAGTATCAGGGCTATAATTGCGAGTATGCCATCGACGACCGCACCGACCGCTATTGGCGCAGCGACACCAGCCAACAGGAGCCTGCGTGGATCCAGATCGACTTGCGCCGGGACTACTATGTCTCCGGCTTGACGATGTTGCCGCGTCTGGAGGCCACGGCGGACCCGGGTCAGATCGGCGAGCACCGCATTCACCTCTCGCTGGACGGGCAGACCTGGACGGAGGTCGCGTACGGCACCTGGGGATCCAACCGGAGTCCCAAGATGTCCGCCTTCATCCCAACCGCAGCCCGCTATGTGAAGCTGGTTGCTGAGTCCATGTCGCAACCCCACCACCAGATCCGCAATGGGCCCATCGCCATCGTCAATTTGGCCGTCTATGCCTACAACGAAGGCACGTTCCCCGTCCCGGACCCGGCAACCGGGGGCATCTGGGGTCCCACGCTGGATCTGTCCCTGGTCCCCGTCTCGGGCGCGGTGGAGCAACATGGGAATCTCATCCTCTGGTCGGCCTGGGCGGACGACCAGTTCTTCGCCTCCCCCGGCGGCAAGACGCTGACCACCACCCTGAACCGCAGCGGCATCATTACCCAGAGCGAAGTGGTCGAGACCAAGCATGATATGTTCTGCCCCGGCACCTCCATGGACCTCGAGGGCAACATTGTCGTCAGCGGGGGGGCGGATTCCGGGCGCACCAGTGTCTACAATGGCACCACCTGGATCAAAGGACCTGCCATGCAGACTCCCCGCGGCTATCAGTCCTCCGCCACCCTGTCCGACGGGCGCATTTTTGTCATCGGCGGATCCTGGAGCGGAGGCGACAAGGTGGAGAAGAACGGGGAGGTCTACTATCCCGGGCCCCAGCCGCGGTGGGAGATGCGCAGCAACGCCAAAGTCGCCCCCATGATGACGGACGATCGGCTGGGCGCCTGGCGGGCGGACAACCACGGCTGGCTCTTTGGCTGGAAGCAGGCCAGCGTCTTCCAGGCCGGGCCCAGCAAGCGGATGCACTGGTACGACGTGGATGCCACCGACCGCAAGGGCCGCGCGCGGGGTTCCTGGAAGGAGGCGGGCGACCGCGGCCAGGACCATGACGCCATGTCCGGCAGCGCCGTCATGTTCGATGCGACGCGCGGCCAGATTCTGACCGTGGGTGGCCAGCGGCACTACGACGGATCCAACGGGTCCAAGCAGGCCCACCGCATCACCCTGGGGGCCGCCTACCAGGACCCGGAGGTGGTGGTGGCCGGCCGGGGCGAGAAGGGCGAGGGGGCAGGTGGCATGAACTTCCAGCGCGTCTTTCATACGGCCGTCGTGCTGCCGGATGGCACTGTCTTCATTGCAGGCGGGCAGACCTGGGGCAAGCCCTTCCACGAGGAGGACATCAACTTCGTCCCCGAGCTCTACGATCCGGCCACCGATACCTTCTACCCCCTGAGCCGCAACAACATCAAGCGCGTCTATCACAGCATCTCCCTGCTGCTGCCGGATGCGACAGTGCTGAACGGGGGCGGGGGATTGTGTGGCAACTGCTCGGCCAACCACTACGACGCTGAGATCTTCTCGCCCCCGTATCTCTTCACCGCGACGGGCGAGAGAGCTCGCCGCCCGCACATCACCACAGTGGTGGGGGGTCCTCGCGTCACTGTGGGCCAACAGCTAAAGTTCCAGACCGACGACTTCATCGAGTCGGCCTCGTTGGTGCGTGTCGGCACGACCACCCACACCGTCAACACCGACCAGCGCCGCATTCCCCTCGACACGATGCGCCCCGTGGGCCATTTGCAGTACAGCGCGCGTCTGCCCGACGATCCGGGGGTTCTGTTGCCGGGGTGGTACATGTTGTTCGTCATGGATGCCAATGGCACCCCCAGCGTCGCCGAGATGATCAAGGTGGAATTGGCCTCGCCTCCCGACTACTTGTCGGATGAAGCCTCGGAGGAAGAGGGGAAGACTGTCGGTCATGGTCATGGTTCTGTCGGACTGACGGCTAGCTGTGACGAGGATGAGGAGGTGATGGGGATCATGGCCATCATGTTTGCCTCGGCCAGGAAGTTCTGGAGGCAGTGGCGGGCTGGTCTGGTCTCCCAGGCTTAGATGGACATTACATGTTGACTACTAGCTGCGTAGACGTGAGCAGAACTGTACAATCACATTCAATCATTATTTTTCTTGAATCCCAGTACCACAGGAAGCCAAGGTGCCTGCGTCGCCCTGAAGATGGGGCTAGCATTCGTCCTCCAGTGACACCCATTCCAACGGACTTTTCCTGAAATTTGTTTGTTCTGGGGATAATGGGGATAATGCGTCTCGAAATTGCAGCTTTGGTGGAAATATAGACGGATGCGAGAACAATGGCTGTGTCCGAACCAAGTGAAAGATCTATATCGGTGCTTTGTAGGAGATGAATGCATGGGAACAGGAGAGTGTCACTGAAGAAGAAAACACAATCTCATTGCGACTTACACCCCTTGTGCACATTTTCTATCATCAATTTCTTGTCCTTGCAGCTCATTCTTTCTCCCTTCTCTTCCCTCCCATCGTACTAATTCTTTGTATGCTTTTTGTAAACTCATACAGAGCGAGGATCACGAGCTTGTTCAAACCCTCTGGAAGACTGCCAGGATCTGGCTATAAATCTTCTGATGTTGTATGCTTCCATCAACCTCCTTCAACCCACTCTTCAAGCAAAGTCTGCCTTACTATTACTGTGTCCTTCAGACAGAATCTAGACGCTTTTCACCACACGTCCCACTCGATCTGCCCACTGCCAAGATGCTCCCTCGGTTTGGTGAGAATGCCCATGGAGTTGCGATTCCCGAGGATAGGATTGCCCTGGTCATCGTGAATCCCGAGACCCCCGCCGATCAACGGGACACCATCGCCCGGGAGCTGGTCAGCGCGATCTGGCAGCAGATGCGTCAAAGGCATCTGGGTCATGCACCGCAGGCCCCCTGCTGGGAAACGGGATGCTACACGGGGCCGTTTGGCGCCAGAGCCGTCTGGGGGGAGGAGCAGGCGTTCTTTTTTGAGGCGCGGGTGGACTCGGACGGCAGCCAGCAGCCGCTCTATGAGCTCCAACCCTATCTCCCCAAGGTCAATGATGGTCGGGTTTGGGTGGCTACCAAGGGGGAGGAGGGATCGCGATACGAGACCTTATTTCTGCAAAAGTGGTTGAACCCGGTCTCCGATCCGATGAATGACCTCTATTTCCACCACTACTGGCACTGGATCGACGGCCATTTCAAGCCGCCGCGCAAATGGTCCCGTAACTGGATTGTATACGACAAGAAGGAAGGGCTCAAACCGCATAAGGCCTAACCGGGGAGAGTCCAGGAGTACTGATACATCCCTCCATGGCAATTACTTCTATAGCTCTCGATTCCCTATAATCTATCTACTTGACTTCTACCATCTCCTAGCGGTCGGTAATCAAGCATACTCTCACAGTCTACACTCGCTCAAACGTAGCTCAGCTGCATCCCGGCCGGTTACAATATATGTCCAATCTAAATAGTTGCCATTCATCAAGACTATAGGTATCATACACTAGAATCAAATATTAAACACCAAGCACAAGCCCAGAAACTAACACATCGCTCCATCTCAGACAGAGCATCATAGTAGATGATCACGACGCACCCGTCGCCGCCGTATTCTGAATGATTATATAGTAGGCCAGCGCCAGCCCCGTCACCACCACTTCGTCGGTAACCGGACCCGAGGGTACCTGTGGATCGATCTCCAGACAGCCGGCCTTGGTCATGGTCCAGCCGCGATGGGGGATGAATCGTGCAAGGACCACCCCATGCGCATCCCGACACTCCAGGTAGGCGGGGTTCATATATTTGGGATTGGACCAGGTCAGCACCGGACCCCCGAGGGCGGGCGACTCGAAGGCGGCCTCGTACTTGAACAGGCCATGCGGCTTGAAAGCGATCTGATGGCCGTTGACGGTGACATCAATGGAGCGCGAGAAGGCGTGGAAGTTGACGGTGGCCGGCAGTCTGGCGCTGCCGGTGGCCTGGAAGATCATATGGGGCTTGCGGCAGTTGAGGTCGGCGGCGTAGACCAGCGTTGCAGCACCGGAGGGCCCCTCAGTGACTGCCAGGTGCTTGTTCGTCCAGCTGGTGAAGTCAACATTGAGCGATCGAGTGGGCGACATGTTGTCGATGATAGGAAGAGTTGGAGGATAGAGAGAGCGGTAGATGTTGTATTTTTTAGACAATTACTTCATACCTGGGTCTCAGCCTTGTCCGATACCGCAGTGGGGCTGTGCTAAAAGTGGCTCAGATCTGACCCTTGATTTCCTGTTTGGGATATGCCAATTGCCAAGATCCATCCTGGGGGCTGTGCCTGATCCTGCCTGATTCTGACGTCCACAAGTCAGTTTGAGACCAGTTTTCAGTATTTATACACACTGCCCTAATTGAGATTCCAGAAGCTAACTTACTGGCATTGCTTGTTTTACCGATGTCGTAGTATTGGAAGTCTCGCGAACGCTGCTGTGGTTGATGTTTGTTCGAGACCTAAAGCATACATTAGTACTCTGAAATAAGTCTTCAGTAAAGAGACTTACTAGGGAAATTCACAGAGCGACATCAGGGATCTCCGAGAGGATCACAATCTTCTCGTCTGAAGGATCTCGTCAAGGAGAGCAGTGAGCTTCTGCTACTGCGGACAACGCTTTGGAATACTGTCGAGACTCTACAGTCAATGACTACTTTCCCTAATAAGACTGTGCCACGGAAAAGGGTTATATTACCCTACTAATGAAATGTACCTCTAGAGTTTTACAGATTGTTTAGGATTGTGCTCCATGAAGGCCTCGCGGCAGGCTGTAATGAGTCTAGACATATTCCCCTTAATTTCCTTTATATCTGCTTTGTCTGACTTACACTTGACATATTTCTATATATTGGGGATTACAGGTAGTATATCCTGTCTAAACCATAATGGAGGAAGTTGTGGATTTATCAAGGATACTGCTGGCATCGCTATCCACTCTATGGAGTGCGATCAAATGCATCACTAACAGCTTGATATGCCTCAAGCCGCGAAGTGTGATTGACTCGGGGCGTGTTGTATGGTCACTATGAATATAGGATGGAGAGCTACACTCTATAGCGAGGTGGGGAGAATTCGACAGGGACGGTATGTACAGTACATGCAGTCCTTCAGATCAGTCACGTGATGTTTACTCTTGATATCTTTTGAGTCTTCGACGGGATAAAAGAACGACATTCACGATCTACACAATGCATCCAGGCTACCATACATCCAGTAGCCATCAGTATGAGCAAGCACCGTTCCCCACCATATGCGTGAACGTTGACGATGATCCTCCAAGCAGGCCAAGTATACGAAGTTCTCCAGCCCCTCGCAAGACAAAACGCTGGAGGTCTGGCCTACAGCCAGCATTGCGCCCCAGCCATTGAGGACAAAGGTAGCTCTTCACAATCCAGGACTATGTAGCCTGCAGTCCTGCAGTGCCATTCGATCCAGCCTGCTCCCCACTGCGCGGGTTTGGTTCAATGCGTCCTCAACGCAGCGCGCATTCCTCGACTCGACCCTGGGATTCCTGCCAGAGGCAACCACATGCCGCAAACCCCCGTTGGACAGAGATGCTCTGACAGATTCAGACTTCAAGCCAATATAAAAGCTCCTGATGGAGTCCTACCCCTCCTGGATCGGTGGCTCGCTAGACACCCCTGCACAGCTGCTCTCCATCGCCCTATACCACTGCCAGCATCGCTGGCATAGAACGCACGATGTTCCTCAAGCGAGACATCCCCCACTTCCTGTGCCTGGCTCTCCCCTTGTTGAGCGGGCTCGCCCACGCCATCCCCTTCAGCGCCTTCTCAAGCATCCAAGCACGCGGCCACTCCCCCGAAACCATCCAGAACTATCCATCCAGCTGCGAGAACGCCTGCGAGGGCGTCACCCCGAACCAAACCGATCCCCTCGCCGCGAGCTACTACTGCGACTACTGCATCTGCAACAACCGCCTGCTCGGTCCCGCCAACTTCTCCCCGGCCAGCAACTTCACCTCCTTCTTCGTGGACTGGCATCCACTCGACAGCCAATGTCCACGCGATTGGCTATGCACCTGGACGAACTTCACCGCGGGCCCGTACAACAACACGGGATACATCTACCCGCAGAATGACGGGTTCAAGGGCTGCGCGGAGACCGTGACGCTGCAGGTGGGCACGCGCGTGGATCGCTTCGGGACCCCGACCGGCGGATATCTGGCCACCCCGGATACCTCGTATGCAGCCCGCGCGATCCCGCCGAGCAATTTGAACGTGTACAACGGTAGCACCCTCTATAACTACTGGCAGTATGAGGTGAGACACCCCTTTTGGGCCCTGTACGGGGAGGTTCTGCCGTGGTTTGGGCAGCCCGGGGGCGGCGAGCAGTGGTATGTCAGCGAGGGGTTGAAGCCGCTCATTGACAATGGGTCGTTGGTCTTGGTGGCGGCGGAGACCTATGATGATAGCCCGGAGACTCAGGATCGGGTGGCGACCTGGATGCAGGCGGATGCCGGGGAGATGAAGGAGAGGGAGATGTACCATTAGGTCTGACCATTCGTATGGTATCGGCGTTGTAAGTCTGCGACCTCTCAGGGAGGGTTTTTTTTGTCATCTCTAGCAGATGGGAAGAACTAGCTAGGCAAGGCACTTTTCAAGAGGTAGAATGAAGACTCTTTTCTGTATCTCCTAGATCCAATTGCCGTCGACGCCGACAATCGAAGCCCGGAGACTGACCGGACGCGGCTGGGAGGCATTGGTCGGCCGGCGGGCCCTGACTTTCGTCACCGAGAAACTCCTGCCCAACCCTGGAAGCGTCTTCTCTTCGGGGGAGAAGCTGGTGGTCTCCTCCAGACGAAGAACCACTTCCACCGCTTTGTCGTCTTCGATCACCTTGGGATGGCGGTTGGCAAAGTAGCGGGCGTACTTGAAGAGCGACCAGTAGCAGCTGGCGACATTGATCAAGAACAGCACGATCTTGTACGGCATGTAGTAGACGAGCAAGCAGGTCCAGCCCACCGCCTCCTTCTTGGATCGCAGATGAACGAGGTTGAAGATGATCACGTTGAGGAAGTACAACCCATTGGTGACGCCCAGCATGATCCCGCAGAACGAGGGCCGGACGACAAAGGAGATCGGCAGCATGAACGGTGCGACGAGATAGAGCAGTGTCTCGTAGACCTTTCCCATTAGTTAGTTAATTCTATCAGTGCTAAGATGCAAGCAGGACTCGGCTCACCTCTTGAAAGACAAATAGCTTGGCCCCCAGCTCCCACCAACCCAGCTTCCAATTGCACAGAATATACTTCATGTTAAAGTACATGCCGTTGACGAAGAAGAAGTTCCACCGCATGAAGCGCTGTTTGAAGATTGTCATCTCACCGAACCCTCCGCGAGAGCCACCGCTGCTGAAGAAGACGGCTGAGGGAGTCTCGGTCTCAACAAAGACGGCCGAGCACATGGTGATGCGTCCGCCCAGTCGCCGACAACTATCCCCGAAAAACCAGTCTTCGGACACCGAAAAGCCCGGATGATCATGGAAGGTCTGTTTGAGGAAGTCGGTACGCCACAGGGAGATGGCGCCGTGAGGGAAGGTTGCACTTCCCAGTCGGCCCGCAAAGGCGCGCTGCAGGCCTGAGATCTTATACTCCAAATCTTGCGCTTGTTGACAGAAAGTCCCTCGCGACGAGCCCGGCCCCACACTCTTGATCGTATAGCCGATGCACTGGACACGTCCCTGCAACCGGTCACTCACCACGGGGAAGTTGGCGGGCAGGGCGCAATCATCATCGATCAGCAGCACGTGGGGGAACTGTTTGGCCGCATAGCAGCCGACAAACTGCGCGATGATCTTGCTCCCGACTGGGCACCACAGATGGTTCACGCCGTAGGGGCGACAGACCTCTTCGGTGTTGTCAAGGGGCTCTGGCGCATTGCCGTTGGCGATCACATAGATATTTTGTGGCGGGAAGATCCGCAAGGCTGCTTCCAAGGTCGGTCCAATGATGCTGGCTGACTTGTAGCATGGGATGAGAAGGGCTGTATCCTGGGCCATCTGGCGATTTGGCTCCAAATCGACTCCGGGGAGTTGCTCGGGCACCGCGGGAGGATTGTCTTCAAAGGCCACAAGGAGGGGTCCAAAGGCATAGCTAGAAGAGACAGATCAGGTCAGTGAGAACCCCAAATGCTCGAGTATTTCACCCCCGGATACTAGACCTACAAGAAGGCCACTCCTATCGTGATTGCCCAGCCGCCCTGAATCACAAACTCGAATCGGACCACATAATACAGCCACCACACCGCGCCTTTCCAGAGAGGAACCCCAATCAGCACCAAGTAGATGAATGCTGCGAGCATCAGGTAGACCGCATATTCGAACAGCAATTGGACCCAGTATTTTCTCTGCAAGGCCACCCGTCGCTCTTTCGCTCTCTGGTAAATGTCATAGATGCTGTGTCGAGCTGCCGGTCTGGCTGCATTCGATTTGGTTCCGGTTTCAATGCGCGAGATGCGGTAGCTTTGCGGACGTGGTGGAAGAGGCCATACGCCGTCTCGTGTTCCTGGGACTGACTCACAGGCCCTCAATTCTGCCCCTAGATGGATACGGTGCGGGGACGGCGATCGAGCATGGCTGCACTCCTGGTTTCCGAACTTGCTGAACACCGGTGAGCGAGCCCATTGTATGTGGTCGTCGAGGGTCTCGCGTGGGGAAAAGGACGGTGATTTGGCGTCAGCGATTATGCTGCCATCGGAAACACTCAGGGGCTCACTAAGACGTCGATTGTTGGGGATCGTCCGGGCTTTGGGGGGTTGGTGTCCGCTGACCGTTGCTGAGCGGCGCAGTCGACCAACTGTTCGCTCCAAGGCCTCGGTCTGGATAGCTTGCTGGACGGGGCCCAGCTCCAGTGGCTCACGATGGGAGGTCGCCCACGGACGACTTGAGGGTGTTGCTGTAGCCAGCAGATGGGCTGGAATGACCACATCCTCGACCACGGACATGCGGTTGCTCGACGGTGACATGGGAGATGTGCTTTCTGGGTTTCAATCGGTCTAAGATCGAAGTAGAGCCCAGGACTCGAGCTATCTATTCGATCCAGCAAGGCTGGGTTCGTCTTATGCATGATGAACGCTGGCTCTTGCTCAGCGGGGCGGTCCCGGCCTGGACCACCGGAGCATGATATGAGCACAGCGTCATCATGCTCACTCTCGGACAGACGCGGATGTATTATTCATTCTTGGTTGAGCTGGTGGTACAGCGCATTCGACATTTTCTCAGGTGCGGACTCGATGGAGTCCGCCATCATGGTAAGGCCGGCAGTGGTCGTCATCCGCAACTGTTGATTGGTAAGGTGAATGAAAAGTCGAAGAATTTTTCCAAGATTCGATCTTGCGTGGACCCAGCAATGAAGCTAGCAGTGGAAGATAATCGCCTCGGTCCATTTTGTACGCCCCGTTGGCGACAGCTCGCTTGTCGCTTGCCTGGTGGACATCCGACCTCTTTCGGTACCATCTCCCGTTTCGATCGGAGACGATCTTGCCCGGAAGAATGCGTTGGATGAGACTCTTTTCAGTCCTCTATCACTCGCTGATTAGGGCTTTCGTGAGCGCAGAAGACAAGTGCGTACTTCGTGGCTGAGGGCGCAAAGAGTATAGTTGGAGATTCGGCCCGAAGCGGAAAGACAAAAATATGCGGAAAATCCACGGATGGGGTTTACGTAACCCACGGCTTGATCTCCGCCTCTTCCAGGCTTATTTTCAGGAACACTTCCGGGCCTCGTCATCTTCCTTGCCATTCAGATGCTTTGATTGGGCTCATTCGGATGTGGAGTGGCCTATCTGGTCCCCGTCTGGAAAGCCATGTGGTACGCGAGGTGCCATCCCCCACTGCCAGGCACAAAAGGCTCTGGAATCCCAACGGGTGGCTGTCAGCGTTCCATGCTTTCTTGTGCTGTGGTATCCTGGTTATGCTTTCCTTTCTACCAACTTTTGAACGTGATTTCCTGATATTTACGCGAGATCGAAAGTCAGTGATTTCCCTGACGGTGCAAGTCTGGTCCTGGAGGATGGAATAGCACTATACCGGGCTCAGCAGAATAGAATTTCTCATCGTAGGGCAAGGGTTCGTCACCCGGTGATCCACAGTGGAGACACTCCAGTCTACTTACGCAGCCTCCCAGGCACCGAGTAGTATTTGTGCGGTTCGTCTCGAATTGCCCTTGAGTGGCACACTTTGTTTTCTTATTTTTTTTCTTTTTTTTTTCTTTTTTTTTCTGCGTGCCTGTCTGAGTAACTGTCATCATGAGGAAGTTAAGGTGACTCTAATTACAGTAAGCTGTTCTTCCTGCCTCTCGCGAGGTCGTCCTCACCGCCTTCTTGACTGGGCTGTTTAGTCGGCAGAAAAGAAGGCGGTGAGCTCAGGGGCGCAAAAGTGAATGAAATCAACTTTTATGAATCATCCTTCGACAACACAAACCGACAAACAGACAGACATTCATCATGCGCAGCCTCACTCTGGTCACGGGGAATCGACACAAGATTGCGGAGTTAAATGCCATTCTCGAGGGAACGGTCATCCTCCGCCCAGTCAACCTGGATCTGCCGGAGATCCAAGGTACGGTGGAGGAGATCACCCGCGCCAAATGCCGTCTGGCCGCCGACAAGGTACCCCCCGGTGGTGGTTGAATCATCGTCGTCTGCCAGTCGACTAAACCATCAGAATAGATCGCTGGCCCCGTGGTAGTGGAGGACTCTGCGCTGGAGATGCATGCTCTGAACGGACTCCCAGGCCCTTATGTGTCTGTTCGCCCTGCATCACTCCTGCTCCCTTTGTAGCCCAGCTGACTGATTGGGTGCTGCGCCCGGTATAGCAAAGCGTTCGTAGACACTGTGGGCAATGACGGGCTCTGCCAAATGATTGGTGCGTTCGAAGACAAGACCGCAGAGGCTGTGTGCACGATAGGCTATTCGCCTGGACCCGGGGCTGAACCCATCCTCTTCCAGGGGAGGCTGAGGGTGAGCACAAGCGAGTCTTGATCAATGGATGAGTCTTTCACTGATTAAATAAAAATAGGGTCTAATTGTCCCCGCACGAGGGATCTCCTCATTTGGTAGGCTGGTCTTTTAACTAGTTACACGGTGGATGAGGGAGACTGATGAATGAATGCACAGGGTGGGAGCCGATTTTCGAACATGACGGAGAGACCTTGGCCGAAATGGATGTGCATAAAAAGGTAGGCAAGCATCATGATGCGTAAATCTCTGTGAATCCCAGTGATTAATTCCAGCTAAAATTGAATGTAGAATGGATTATCGCATCGCTTTCACGCGGCACACAAGTTGAGGGAGTGGTTAAGAGTGAATATGAGTGGATAAATGAATAAATACATCATACTAGTCTAACCCAAAAGAGAAAAGATGCAGCCTGCCTGAGGAGCCACAAAAAGTGACGACATTCCCGACTGTTCACCCATCACGATGATGTATGGTGATGTATCTTGATAGGGCTGAACATCACAACTTGGCTTTAAAGCTTGGCTGTGATCGTCATGACTGACTGTCCGATCCCTGGATTGATTGTCATTTGGTCTTTCTCCATTTCCACAACCACTTACACAAGTCCCTTCCACTGTGCTCTATCCATGGCGACCTCCCGGTTGGTACCTGTTCCTATACTATATTTCTGTACCGGTCCAAAACCTGAGGAAACGCAGGACAGCAAACGGAACTGACCAGAAGAACCCACAGTATCAGACACGACCCCAGCTGGTCGACACGTCAAGGTCTTGCTGGCGCAGTGCTCAAACTGTTCCTGCGCACCTACACGGCCTGTCACTTCAAATGGCCCATCTCCCTCAAACCCCACCACGAGGGGGACCGTTTCGTGATCATCGAACCCCCCACCCCCTCTTACTATACCGGGGTGGCAGTGGATGAAGAGATCAAGCCGGAGCCCGTGGGGGCCACCTGGTATCCTGAGCCCTGCACGGCCGCAACCTCGATCCCCGACGGCCAGTTTGTCGTCCTGCATCTACACGGGGGCTCGTATGTCCTGGGCGATGGCCGCAGCTCGTCCTGCAACTTTCTGGCCAAGACCCTTCTCACACACACCCCCGCCAGTCATCTGCTGTGCGTACAATATCGACTCGCCTGCTACCCCAACGGCCGATTTCCCGCTCAGTTGCAGGATACCATCGCCGCGTACGTCTATCTACTCCACACCCTGCAGATTCCACCGTCCCGCATTGTGCTCTCCGGGGATAGCTCGGGGGGTCACCTTGCCTTGGCTCTGCTGCGGTACCTTGTCGAGTACGAGGATCCATCGCGACTACCACCCCCGCGGTGCAGCTGGCTGTGGTCGCCATGGTGCGATGTGCCAGCCGCAGTAGACCCGGAAAGTTGGACCCAGAGCCAGAACTACGAAACCGAGTACATCCCGGGCTCATTCCCAACCTGGGGGGCCCGACAGTTCCTGCGCGACCTGGCCATAACGGAGCCAATGGAGCGCTATGTGGCTCCGATCCACCATCCCTTCCTTCTGCCCTCGCCCGCGTTAGTGATCACCGGGGGTCGGGAAGTCCTGTACCCCGATCACCAAGAGCTCGTCCGGCAATTCCAGAACCGGCCGGGAAATGAATCCCAGATCGAGCTCGTGGTGGAAGAGAAGGTGCCTCACGACGTTCTCATGATTGGCTGGATCATGAAATTCCATCAAGAAGCGGAGGCTTGTGCTCGACAAGCCGGCGACTTCGTACGACGCGTGACATCGGTCACAAGGTCCACGGGGAGGGGCGAGAATGAGCAGGAATGAGGTCGTTGGTGGGTGCTTGTCGTGTAAATAGTGAGATGAATGTCTACCACCATCCCCTCACCGGCTCCGAAACAGCAGTAAGCCCTAGAAGTGCAGAGGTGAGCCGGTTCGCTCCTGAGGATTGCTCCGCTTAGCTCGATGTCTGGCCAGAACCCCGGACGAATCTCCGTGGCGAGTTAGTGCTACGGGGTAAGGATCTACTAGGTCAAGCACCCCCGTTAGGGCCTCCGAACCCCGCTTCGCATTCTTCAGCACGATTGTTCAGATGATCTTGTTGGACATCAATCCCATACCGGGATGGTTGGTAGTATGGACCGGTCCACCGGCAAGTAGCCACATTAATCACAAGCACCACCCTCAGCATCGAATGCCCACCGCGCCTCGTCTCTTGTGATCGGAGTATCTAGATCATGAGCCCTGGCCACGATGCAAGCATCTGGAGAACCCTGCGGAGTCCGGCGGTGTCGAAGTGTACCCCACTGTTTGTGACGGCGGAACCTGCAATGCGAGTGCCTGGACATAGGCGTTGATGCAGCGGCAAATGAGGGTTCGCCTCCGCAGGTCCGACACCCAACAGGCAGCACAACTTACGCGTACATAGATCCCAATCAGATCCAATCAGAGACAGTAGCATGCAGTAGGTCGTCTTGCTGGTTGTCGCACCACATACCACATCTGACAAGGGAGAGGCCCTGAATCCGCCAAAAGTGACCAGAAAGTGGGTGATTGTGTATGCAGCGAGTGTGGGTCGTGCTTGAACCCTGCTAGTCGAGGCTGATATCAGCACTAGCAGGGCTCTAGCAAATCTGTTCCTTTGTCCTGCTTCCGGTCGCATAGCCCTTTTGGGGGAGTCTAGAGTCCTGCAGGATCGTCTCGCAATCAAGCGAGCATTTGTAGTTTCTGACAAAGACCAAATCCTGCTCAATCCTGACGAAATGAATATCCTACCTGCGACTTTTTAGCCTCAACCCCGGACATATAAATATGGCCGGTTAGCCACAGAACACCAGTAGTGGAAGACATCGGACTCAACTCACTCTTCAACATGCAACTCACCACCGCCCTGCTTGTGACCGCTGGCTTCTGCACCTCGGTGTACGGCCAGGGGTACGCTGACGAGTGTAGCGACATCTACCTCAAAGAGAACTGGCTGGTGGGAACGTGTCCCACTAGCGACGGGACTGGAACCATCACCAGCAGTGTCTATCTCCCTAACAAGATCACCAACACCGACGGCACCCTTGGAGTAAGCCTGCCCCTGGTCAACCTTTTGAACACAGACGCAATGAATAATACTAACTCGCAAGATGTAGTGGAAAACCGAGTGAGTATCTCAGCCCGGACAATTCTTCTGCGGAGGACTAACGGCCAGTGTAGTGGCGCGTACTCAGACTCCTGCGGTGAATGTCAGCTCCTCGCAGGGGGCGGATCGTTGGACTGTCTCTGCGAGGGCTCTTACGGCACGATCAACAAGAACACCACATTGAACCTGGGTGAGTGTTGCCCGCATTCAAGAGACTGTTCCAGGCTGATGGGATGAGACAGAGGAGCACATTGCCAACTATGATGGCCATCTGCTCTCCAACCTGACGGGCAGCGTCACCTCCATCCCCGCCAACTCCTCGTGGCCTGTGCCCTCGGATTTTGAGGTGCAATTGCAAACTGCGAGCGCCGACAACAACTGCACCACGATTGGGGGGTATATCACCCTGGACGGTCCGGAGAGCTGCTACTATCTCAACCTGGGGGTGCAATACTACTTTTATGCGGCGCAGACCGTCAACAACCAGGGATGGGAGATTGCGGCCTACCATGACAGTACTTGCGACGGGGAGCCGGTGGGAACATTTACCCCAGCAAACGACGATACTTGTCTCAGTTTCCCGGATGGTGTAACGGGATTTGCGGTGACTCCCCTGTGGAATGCCGACTGAGCATGAAGGCATGAAGAAATGAAGACCAGAAGACAAGACACTCAGGCATAAAGGCATTAAGGCATTAAGGCATTAGCAATTGGAAGCAAACTATGCAAACAGCCGGAGTGGAATTAGTCAGAGCTTAGTCATTGGCTGCACCTTCGCTTCTCTCCTTTTCTGGACAAACGAGAAACAAACACCATCTCTCTCTCTCGTGATATACATACATGCAAATAGCAACCAGATAGCTTCATCTTTCATTCATGATTCTTCATAGTTCATAGTCTCTGCCATCCATCCTGAGATCTCTCCACCTCTTCAATATCTCGTTCACCTCTCATGCCTCGAAGCACAGCCAGCGGGTGGGCCAGTGGCCGTGGCCTGTGCACCGTCCTCGAAGGCCGGCTGCAGTGGATGCCTGCTTGCCTAAATCTTCAGCCACTGACAGCCTCCTCGTCCAGGGACTGCACTACTAAAGCTTGCTCTCATGTTCATCATTGGTGACTCGTCGAGGCTGACTCCATTCCAGGGTCTTGCCAAGCCTCAATACGAGCTTTCGCTAGCCCTGACTTATCCCCCACACCATTTAAATAGGGGTTTCCCTGAAGATTTATCATGCGTTTGGCGGTGACATAGTTCTTTCAACCATGTCCGACTTGGATCGCAGCTGCAAAGAATGACTGGTCACGACCGCATTCGATGGCTGGATGGCCTTCGCGGCATCGCGGCGGCGATTGTGGCCTTTGACCACTACTTCATGAGCGATGTCTGGCATCCTTTCGTCTCCTTCTGGGCGGATCCCCCCGAGGCCAATCGTCATTGGGTGCAACTCCCCCCTGTCCGCATTCTCTTCTCCGCCCATTCCATGGTGACTCTGTTCATGGTGATATCTGGATTCGCCATCTCCGTCAGCCTGTTGAAGGCCCGCCACAGCCCGCAGTTTCTGCCCCGAGTGACTTCCGCCATGGTGCGGCGCCTCTTTCGCATCTACCTGCCGGTCGTCGTGTTGGCCACGTTGAGCCAGTTCTTATTCTTCTTCGATCTGTACCACTGGGAGTTTGACGACGGATTTCTCGACGGCCTTCAGCCCTGGACCGATCCGTGGGCCCACATCCAGTGGCTCTGCGGCTATATGGCGGACAGCATGAACGTCATCGCGTTCGAGTACCGGGGAGGCCTGAACGGACAACTCTGGACCATGCCGCTAGAATTCCGGGGATCTAACGTGGTGTATCTGCTGACCATCGGCCTGTCGGCGTGGCGTCCTAAACTCCGGTTATGGGCCCTCCCCTTGCTGGCGGGTTTCTTCCTCTGGGCCGGCAACTGGGACATCTTCGGCTTCATCTGGGGCTTGTGGCTCGCGGAGCGGACGATCGGCTCTGCTCCTCGGATGGACACATCCCCAGAAAATGATTGCGACGACGAGGAGAAGTGGCCCCGACACAGATGTGCCGCCACGCGATGCAGGCTCCGTTCCGCACGGCGAAAGCTCTTCACTCTGTCGCGCCTCCTCACCGTCATCGCATTCACGATCGGGGTTTACCTCCTCTGCCTCGGCAGCGACGGGCAATTGCCCCCGGGCTACCAATTTCTGGCCTGCCTCCATCCCGCGAAGTGGAAAGACCGATGGGACATCTACCAGTGGTGCTGGAAATCCGTCGGCGCCGCATGTCTGGTCTATGCGATCGCCCAATCTCCGCTGCTGCAATCTCCCCTCCACACCCGACCGGTGCAGTATCTGGGCAAGATCTCGTTTTCACTGTATCTGCTGCACGAGACTATCTATCAGTTGTGGCGCAATCCGCTGCGCGACTTGGTGTATCTGATGGCGAGTGGCCATCCGTATGTGACCAGCGCCGAGGCATTGCGAGCCGATGCGTTCGCCTTCCACGTCGCATGGTGGGTGTCGGGGATAATACTGGGGACGGTGGTGCTATTCGCGTCGCATTACTACACTATCTATGTGGATAATAAATGCGTCGCTTTGGCTAAGCGGCTGGAGCGATGGGTGACTTCTTGATGTTAGATGCGATACTAGATCTCCACCACTTTCGAACCGAGTGGATGAGCACTGCACCTCAAATTCTCCCTCGCCATTACGAATCACGGCAGTGAATCTCGATCGGAATAAATAAACCATATTTCGGGGCATTTGATGTAAAGCCATAAAGCTGTTGAAGCTCATCGACTATAGTCGATAAAGAAACTCCATGTTGCATGCCACCATTACCCATGATCGCTTCGAAGGTGTCCCCTTTCGCATTGAACTATTAAAGGGGGTGTGTGTATCAAGAACAAATTCGCAGCACAGCTTACTCTACATGTGGCGAAAGTCGAGGGCGAATGAATTAATCATACAAGAAATGTTTACCTTTTGTAACCACTTTGTAATATGATAACTCTCTTCTTTGTTTTTCTGTCTCGTTCTTTTCCTCTCTCGCTTAGTTTTTCGATTGTTCAAAAGCGATATATTATTCAAGTACACCCTATCGCCAACCACAATATGATTGCAAACAACCAGCACCCCTCGAAAACCTCAACCCAGCCGCAAAAACCCCTCAATGACACCCCGCAACTATAGCAGAATCAGGCCTCAATCATCATTCGCCTACAACAGTAGACCAGCGGATCTCGCTAACTGGATCAGGGACCACCAGCTGCAAGCACCTTGAAGGCTAAAGTGGGCCCGGCCCAAATCTGCCGCTTGCCGACCCCCTTTTTTTTTTCGCAGAAAATACCACACCTTACAATTTATTTTGGGGCCTTCGACCCACATCCTACGAACCCAATTTACATTCTTCAGCGTTCAGACACATGGTTGGAAACAATGGAACAAAGGAGATGGCTATTAGGTTTTAAAGTTCTAGCTCTAGCTATATTCTTTATTGTGGTTTCTGGGTCAACTTGGACCTTTGTGGTGGTGCAGAATGCAGATAGTTACTCAGCGAGACCAACCAGCCAGACAACTCACGGCCACGAGTCGGTCAGACCCCGTCACGGATGATGCCCGACGACGACGGCATCCGACTCCACCTCCTCCTGCGACCGGTCACCCAGCGAAATCTCGTAGTCATGGCCCCGACTGCCGCTTTTAGACGGCTCCAGATGGGTCAGAGGCAGCTCGCTCTCGGTGTCGCGCATCCGGCGAAATGCGCCGGCCGACGCCCCGGATTGCGCCCCGGTCTGGGAGGAATACGCCGCCTTGGCCGAAGAGAAAATGCCGGGAAAGGCGGCCTTGAAGACGGGGCGCATCATGGGGACGCACGCATTCAGAATGGCGAGAGCGGGCTCGGCGACGCTCCAGAAGGCGGCCCAGATCATGCTGTAGGAGAGGTCGGCGAAGTCGACGGTCGTGAGGACGCGGATGCGGATGATGGTGATGGCGGAGATACTAGACAAGGAGATTTGGTCAGTCAGTCGTGAGAGGCGTGTTATGCAAAAGACTGGGGCTAAAACGCACAAGACGCCGAGTCCGAAAATGCCGTACAACGCCAGCTTAGTCGCCGTCGTGGTCTGCAGTTTCCAGATGTGATGTACAGGCAGAGCCATGATGACCAGATCCGTGACCAAATTGAAGGCACCGATGGTTGAGAACGCCACGTTCATGCTGGCGCAGTGGCCCGGCAGCGTCGCGTCCCAGTTCTTCTCGAACGGCTGGCAGATCAGAAAGATCTGCAGCATGCTGCCCAGCCAGTAGGCCGCGGCACAGCCCATGCACACCCACGCGGCGATGCGGAAGCCGCGCGTGACGAAAATGCGGAGGTAGAAGAAGAGGTAGGAGAATTTGGCCAGGACCATGCAGTTGTAGTAGATGATCTGGTAGACGATGAGCATCTGGGCCTGTTAGCCATCGTCGCCCGGCCGGGGCAAACGGCCGAAACCAACCTTGAAGATCGAGATGGCATTTGCGGCGGGGATCTCGGTGATATGATGGCGCATCCCTAAGCGCGCATAGTGGTAGTGCATCGCAAGCATGCCGTAGGTGTTGAGCTATCCAAAATCCTTTCCGTCAGTCAGAAATTCGCAGCTGGGACCATTAGTTTCCGGAGATCGTACCATCGATCCGACGATACAAACATCGTCCCACCAGATCTTACTGTGGCGGATTCGCCGCGAGACAAACCGCAGCCCTAGCGCGAGGGTACTCACGGCCACCAGTGCCGTGTTGGCGATGAGCTGGTCGCGCACTATGGCATACTCAAAGACATTGTAGAACTGCATGGCCATGCAAATACCCGGGTCCCATGCATGATTGGAGGCTGGGACAAGCAGAAGAAATTAAAAATGGCCAGGGATGGGGCGACAGTTTCGGTACTTGAAGGAATCGCCGAACCAACGCGCGTGTCAAAAATTAGCAGTGGACGGCCAGACAGCGATGATCATTGCAGTGTCCAAAAAATGGAAAGCCACCAAAGACGGTTCAATCCTGCGAGTTAGCCAAGTGGAGCGCGATAGTAACGGGTTTTGGCAGGCTTTAGGGGGTGGGGGGAAGAGAGGCAGAGGTGAAGACGTCCAAAACGACCGGCGCTGTCAACGAAGTGGAGCGTCCGCCTCCCGCAGCCAATCCAAGCCCTAATATGCGCCTCGACCCTCGCCCAACTCCACCACGCCATGTCAAGCCATGTCAATCTCAATCCTAATTCCATTCTCTGCTCCCGCGCTGCTATCACGCCCCCCATTCGTCTTCGTCGAGTATTTTGCCCTGCTCGGGTGAAATTTCCCCTAGCCTCGGCGACTTAGCAGTATTTCATCCCCTCTTCCTGCGGTTGCGTTCCTTGCCCGCATCTTTCATCAATTCCCGACAAGTCGCAATCACCTTCCACCATGACCACCGCTAAATCCTATGACTACGTGATTGTTGGGGCAGGAATCGGGGGGCTGGTCCTCGCGTCCCGACTGACTGAAGACGCCGATGTCAACGTTCTATTGATCGAGGCGGGGGCCAACCGCATGGGCGATCCCCGTATCGAGACCCCTGGATTTATGGGCACCTTGTACGGCAACCCGGACTTCGACTGGGATTACATGAGCGAGCCTCAGGTGTGTGTTGTGTGACCGGCTCGTCCGAGATTCCGCTTGAGATCCATATGCATGTAGACTGAGAATCCAGGTCCATGTGAACAACCGACAGATGGCTCAGCCGCGAGGCCGGGTGGTTGGCGGCACCTCAGCCATGAACTTCTCCGTGGTGATGTACCCCTCTGAGGCCAACTTCGCGGCCTGGAAATCGCTGGGGAACGAGGGCTGGGGGCCCGAAGACATGGCCCCGTATCTAAGAAAGTTCCACACCTACACCCCTCCATCCGAAGCGACCTCGACCTTGCTGTCGCTGGAGCGCTACATGAGCCCCGAAAACCAAGGGACGGGTGGCCCCGTTCCCATCACCTTACCCGATGTATACGGGCCGTTCAACCAGGCCTGGGACGAGGCGTTCGACCGTCTAGGCTGGCGCACGGATGCTGACCCCATCGCCGGTCGCAAGATTGGCGCCTTTACTGCACCCTTGACTGTCAATGGGAAAACCGGCCAGCGAGGTTATGCAGCAGCTTACTACTCGCCAGAGGTGGCACAGCGTCCGAACTTGGACTTGTTGGCGGAGACCATGGTGGAGAAGGTATTGTTGAGCGAGGTGGAAGGAGAAGTAGTCGCAACTGGCGTGCAAGTCCGATGCAAGGATGGGGCGCGGCGAGAAATCCCTGCCACGCGAGAAGTCATCCTATGCGCGGGGACTTTGAACACCCCCCAGCTACTGGAGTTATCCGGGATCGGCCAGCGGGAGTTGCTGGAGAAGCACGGCATCCCCGTTGTCCTCGATCGCCCCGGGGTCGGAGAGAACCTGCAGGACCACTGCCTGGCCAGTATCAACTTCGAAGTCGCTGACGGCCAAGTGACCGGCGACATCATGCGGGATCCCAACGTGGTGCAGTCGTTGATTCAGCTCTACGAACAGACGCGCGGAGGGCCACTGTCGGGCATGCCCATCAGCGTGGCATACCTACCTCTGGTGGATCACGACGGGCAGCTGTCCAGCGAGAAAGTCCACGATCTGCTCTCGCAGCATCTCGATCAGCAGATGGCGGATTTCCCACCCGCGCAACAGAAGCAGTTTGCCCTGCAGCGCGAGCTGCTGCGGGCTGGTCACAATGCCTCCTCGCAGTACATGCTCATGCCACTCCAGACGCACATGCTGCCCGGCGCGACGACCCTCGCCGATGTTCTGGCCAAGTCAATGCCAGGCAACTATCTGACCGTGATGGTGCTGCACAACCACCCCTTCTCGCGCGGCTCGGTCCATATCCGCTCCGGGGACGTGGACGACAAGCCTATTTTCGACCCCAATTACCTCTCCCATCCCCTTGATCTCGAGATACTGGCCCGTCATGTCCAGTTCTTGGACAAGATCGTCGCGACGGAGCCGTTGGCAAGCATGCTGAAGCCGGAATCGCGCATTCCGCAGGGAGTCGTCGATTACAGCGATCTCGAAAAGACAAAAGAGGTGGTCAAGGAGCGGCTGTACACCTGCTTCCATCCCTCGGGGACGTGCGCCATGATGCCAGCTGAACTGGGAGGCGTGGTCGATTCGGAGCTGAAGGTCTATGGCACTCGGAATCTGCGCGTCGTCGACGCCAGCATCTTCCCCCTGGAACCGGCGGGCAACATCCAGGCCACGGTGTACGCAGTGGCGGAGCGAGCGGCCGATTTGATTCGTAGGCGCTAAACACACAGTAGCTACATACGGCAAACTAGAGGAGCCACGAGACGATCTAGTCTTATCCACCGGGATGATTGTACGCTATCCATTAATGGAAAATGAGCTGTCTTGGCTGCATGCTTGGAGGCGCGGCCCGTTCTTGCCGGGCCGTGCATAATTAGTCATGTCTATTGCAATGATCGTTAGGGAATCCTTCGACAACCTTTTGCCTAATTCTGCCTAGTTCCAGCCTTCCCCTGCTGTGTTCCCCACTGCAGACAGGCCCATAAGTGGTAAAGAGTCGACAGGATCGGGGTGGCGATTCCCCGGCCCTGGGCCTCGCGAATCACCTCCCCGATGATGACCTCGTGCTCGAGGAAGTTTCCCTAGCCAGCATGAGTTCTCGTTCACCTCACTCAAACGCCTTCTGACTCACCTTGGTCACGTCCTTTTGCATACTCGGATATATCATCCTCTCTGGGGGGTTCTTCGCCAATATGGTTGCAATCGTTTCGCGCGGGAGGTCAATGTCTTGCCCTCAGCACTGTAGATGGCTACGAAGTGCATTGCTGCATTGATTTGCGCACTGGGAGTTTGCGACAGACCGCCAAACGCACCGATCTGTAGGTTGTCATGATCGATTTGTTCGATCACGCCTGGGGCAATCTCGTGCGCGTCGATGCGACTGATCCTCGAGAGAATGTTCTGTGCAAATCGCTTGGCGAACGGCTTCTCAATGTTGACCGTTCTGAATGAGCACAATGACGGTCTGCGCAGGGGGTCACAGCAGGGGCAATGATGTCGCAGATGGGAGGGCCGATATCGGGGATGTTCTTGGTGGTGCACACAATGTAGTCAAACGGCGACACGCCTGAATGGGCCACCTCGGGAACAGCGTTGATCACTGAATATATTCTTAACACACGGTTGGCGGTATTTCCTTCGATTAGTACCCTCGGATGGGCGCCAGTTGCGAAGGCGGCCGTGATCAAGGATCTCGAATCCCCGATCGGTGACCGTCTGGAAATTGGACCGCCGCACGGCGGTGACATGGGCTTGTCCACCACATTCCAGATTGAGGGCGGCAATGGTCCCAATGCCTTCACTGCCTAGCAGCAGCACACGAGTCTTTGCCATTTTGATGTATATCGAGAAAGGCTCTTGACATTCGAGTGAATGTATCTAGTATCGAGTGCGGAGAGGAAGGGGAAGGATCGGCCGAGATTCGGCAGCAATTCCGAGGTCCTGCATTTCTTCACAGCTTGCCTGCGTCAGGAAAGCTATCAGAACACAGATCCACAAAATATGTCCAGCCGTGGATCCCAGAGACTATCAATGTCCCAGTCCAGCAAGGTATTGAAGCTGTGGACGGGATCGAGTGAGTTGAGAGCATCAGATGCGCCCGCAAGTGAGCTCGCCGTCTCGCTCGGCGCCATCGGCGGCCTTGATGTGCCATGACTGGGATCGATGATTTCATCCAGAATCCGTGTGAACCTGGCCTTGACCTGCTTGCAAAATTCGTAGTTCCCACTTCCCGGTCGGGCCACCCAGCTGAGACAGGAGACATACACCGTCAGTTCCCGGATCAATTGTGCGCGCGAGAAGCCTGGGGCCGCATTGACTGAGGCTGAAGAGCGGTGCAGTAGCTCCGTGCAGATAAGCTGTACGCTGGGAAGACCATACTGAAGAAACTGGTTCTGGTGTCAGCCGCTAATCTACATTCCAGGAGAGGTACTTACGATATGGGTGAAGTCGTTGCGCAGCTCTCGCAGTCGCTCGCGCTCATCATTGATCACCAGTATGGTGGTCAAAATATTCTGTGCCACCGCGAAAACCTCCGTAGACCGGTCTCCCGAGATCAGCCGGTGTAACAGGAACTTTGAATGCAGGTAATCGAGATTGAGGGTGAGCAGGACCAGAAGCTGGTGAGTGGGCATCAGAGCCGGCGTGTTCCACATGGCAGCAGAGTACTTCATATGGCTCGGACACGAATCCCACATGACCGCAAGCCTCTGAAATACCTCCCTGGTAGTCCCTTGAAGTCAGTCATGCACATGCAGAAAGCGAACGGGTAACGTACTCTGCGCGTCTCACAAGATCGGCATTATTGACCCCCAGATACAGCTCCAAGACTTCCTCGCGGATCTTGGCAAGCATAAGTCGCAGCCGTATCGTTGTCGCGGGCCGAGGTCTCCTATCCACATTCCACCCATGTTCATCGATCGATCGCAGGTTAGACTCGTGCTCCGCCGGGTCAGGATCTTCGTCCAGGTCCAACGGAGGCTCTAGGCTGCAGTAATGTCGGGTCATCATGGGTGGTCGGCCCAAAGCGGTGGCAATGGTTTTATCCATAGTGTAAACCACGGCAAGACATGTTCGGCGCCATTGGTGGACAAAGACCGGCGACTGCTCTCGGGGCACATCGTTGCGATGTATACCGGTGGCGTAAATGCAGGAACATAGTTCGCCTAGAGAGGAATATAGCCTGCGACCTATGTCTTTCAGCCCTTTATGTCAATGTCGCGTCAGGATCTGCACACTTACTGGAATCACCAAACCGGGTGACCGCCAGCAGCATCTGATAATACTTCAGTGAGACGAGGAGCTCGTTCACGAGTGGCAAGGCGTCGAGCAACGGCGACAAATGATCGGTAATTTCCAAGGCCTGGGACAGGAGCTCATTCTTCCCGCGGTGCTGCGTGTCGATCAGAGTCACCGCATGCTCGGGGATGTGGATCATGGTCAGACTCGCAAGCGTGATGACGGCGCCAATCAACTCCCATCGAAGATTGACCCCGGTGACTGCTTGCCAGAGCTCCGGTGCTCTCATGTTATTGGAAGTGCTGATAGGCTTGTAAGTATTTTCGAAGATCCGAACCACCATGCGCAGGCGGGCCGCATCGTCGCCAATGAACTGCTGGTCGCAAATGTCCCAGAGGTGGTCGAGAGCAGGAAGCATGACCGTCCGTGGAATAATGGGCATACGGCTTAAGCCATAGAGATGCTCTGTTAGGTTTTTGATTAGATGAGACTCTCGACAGAAGAATTCCAGGATGCGAGAGCCCAGCTCCAGCTGTCCCGGTTCGATAGTGTGTTTGCCCAGTTCGGGCGATAGCTCGGTAGTGGCGTGACCCTCCCGGAGGAGATACCGATAGCTGGTGGGGCCCAAGAATCCAGTACTCTCCAGAGAGGGAGTCTGGACAATCACTGGCTGGGTAGACAGTGCATCGCGACCGGTGGCTTCGGGCGATGAGGTCGAGGTGGCTCTGTGGGTGAAGTTAGCTGGTATTGACCAGAGGTTCTGCGGAAGAAAGGGACTACCTGCAGTGACACAGACACAGTAGATTGGGATCTCGCTTGGATGGGATCAGAGTTTCGGTGAAAGGGGCGAAACGTTTTAGTCATTGGGGCGACGAGATACACGCAGGCGATGCTCTTGGCCGTACAGCGCCCGCATGTGGGCCAGACGTGGTCGCATCGCGTCTTGAGCTTTCGACATGGCTCGCAGGCTTGCCGTCGACCGTTGCGCCGCACTGATTGTGACGAGGGAAGTTCCATGTACTGGATGGGTATCTGCTCGATTATGAGAAGAGGAGATGACGTTGAGGATAAGCTGAGTGTGAGATGGGAGGAGGAAGATGGAGGAAACATTGCCGGAGTTACCGCCGACGCCGGTGTTAACATCACGTGATACCGGTTTTGCACCATATCATGTTTCCTCAACCAGTGAATCCATTAGATCAATGCTGATATAGCATATTTAGGGAGGATATAACGGGCTAATGACAGAGTAAGAGCGGTGCGGTCAAGGTCAATTTGAGGTTATAGCCACTGGCAGTGATTCTGCTGCTGCAGCAATCAATCCATCCTATATGAACGAGCCAGCACTTATCATTGGGGGGCCTAAGGCTGCAATCGTCAGGCTTACAGGACTAGCCGAATTGGGATGAAGATAAAGACGACCTCGGATCTATTATCGTCTCACAAGTAATCCATACTCTGATTTGCATTAAATACGAGGCAGAAGTGGACCCTGACAAGGCTCATATAGGCTTGATAGATACCCTTGGCCGCGCTTCATTGGTCTTGGGAAATCGGGTCCAAACTACGGGCCTTACCTCGAGGATACAGATCTATGCTATGCTAAAGACCATCTGAAAGAGAGCAATTGCTCTCTACTACTAGTATCATAGACTCTGAGAGCGACGCCTGCACTGCAAGCACCACAACGGCCAGCTAATTAGCCCTACAAAGCCCTTCCCAACACAGCACTCGGCAAGGACATCGTCGTGCATGTCAAGGTCCAGAAAAAATGCAGGGCAAGATCGCCCCTTGAGTAGCCCATCGGACGGACTGCTGCTGCTACAAAGTACTATTAGTTAGCATCTCTGCTGCTGCTGCTGCTACTATTTGTTTACATTAGAGCTTTATACAGTAACCATTGATTCAGTCCAGTTACCAGAATATATCAATCCATTCACCATGACACACCCCTTACTCTCCCAGCGGATAACAATGCAGAACTTGCCCCGCTGCCAACACGTTAGCGACTTCACAAGCCCAAAGACGATCGAGCACATACAATAGAAGGATGCATCCTTGCTAGCCAAGAACACGAAACTTGTAGCCACTTCCGTCGGCTGTCCCGGACGGCCCAGCGGTTTGCCGGAAGCCCAATCCTCCATCGACTCGGCATCTCGCGTATCGACCTGGATCGGGGTGTACACGGAGCCGGGCCTATTGCTGCTGTTAGCATTGAGGGTAATGGTACTGCGTTGAGAAAGAAGCACATACGCGACCGCGTTGACGCGGATGCCCTTCGGCATCAGCTGCAAGGCGAGCGATCGTGTGAAGCCCACAATCGCCCCCTTGGTCGAGGCGTAATCGACCATCGAACCGGAGCCGCGGAAGGTGGTGACGGACGTGTTGTTGATGATCCTGCAAGAAATGAGTCACTAGGTAAGCACACATGCTCCGAGGCAACTCACGCGTCTCCTTTGGACATGTGCGGAAGGGCGTATTTGGTGATGGCGATCATCTGGAGGATGTTGGTGCGGAAGGTGTCCTCGACTTTCTCGAGGTCGATCTCAGCCAGGTCCTTGCACATGTACTGCTTCGATGCATTGTTCACGAGGACGTTGATGTGCTGGAACCTAGGGATGGGATGACAATGTTAGTCCCCGTGCTCTCTCCCTGATAACCACACACCCCAACCAGCATACCGATTCACATGTTCCTCCACTGCCTTCTTGCAAAACTCATTCTTTCTCAAATCGCCCGGGATCAGGAGACAACTGCGTCCTTCCTTCTCCACCAGTTCCTTGGTATGCTCCGCATCTTCCTGTTCCTCGGGGAGATACACAATCGTGATGTCCGCGCCTTCGCGCGCCATCAACGCCGCCACCGATCGACCGATTCCCGAGCTGGAACCGAGCTATCAGAACTGCACAGCACGGTGGGTGGTGTGGGAGATAAAACACTCACTCGCCGCCGGTAATCAGCACCTTCTTGTCCTTGAGCTTGTTCGAGCCGGTGTATTCGACGAACCCCGAGCTGCCCTCCAGCTTCGTGGACTCGCTGGACGGCTCCATGTTCTTTTCCAAGCTGTCATCGATTAGCTCCCACCCACGCTCCAGATATTTGATGGCTCATCTCACCCTGGCTTGTTCTGAGTTTGCTTAGCCTGGGGAGGCTGGAAGGTCCCATCTTTGCCCATTTGCGACGACATGATTGATTTCTGCGGACGTGTCTGTGAAGAGATGTACGGGGGGTTATCTGCGTGCGACAAAATTGCTGGGACCGCGCGAGAACCCGGTTATATAAGGGACTGAGAGACTACCACATCATTCAGTCATGCATGCGTCATCGTGCGCGAGCTGTTTGGGCTGGACCGCGGGGTACTGAAGCTCATCATCCGGTACGAGAGGTGTCCTACTGAGCTGGACCCTGTCTCTTGGCTGGGTTTGTCCGAGGTTAGTGTTCAGTGTGGAGTTTCTGATCGTGTGTGCATGAGAGGGTGGTGTTGACAGACAGCATAATCGGTGGGTGACATCACAAACGGCTTGGGAAGATGTGCATAATGACTAAGTAACTAGTTATGCGATGCATCATGCTGAATGACTCAGCAAGAATGCGGAGTCGATGCGTGGGTCATGTGACACCGGTCGGCATTGAATGCAGTAAAAGTATAGAGTAGCGGTGCTCTGTATGGTCGGAATGCGAAGGATGGATCAGTCTTCCATGTTGAATGTGACCATCAAAGTAACGCTCGAAGCACTTGCGAGCGGCTGCCTGGGCCTTTCGCCAGGATTCTGCATTAGACCACTTTCTACCCATTGCGACAGATGTCTAGATGAATGAGCTACAGTACTAGCTACTCGTAGCTAGAATTGGAAGTATGATCATTAGGTACTATTACATACATATGCGTGTCGATTGGATATAGTCGCGGAGAAGGTGCCAATCCCAACTCCCTAGTATTGAATCATCTTGGGATTTCACTCAATCGCGCAAGAGCCAAGAACCGTCACCGTAACTGTCGCCTGAACGGTCGAAGTCACCACGTCATCGTCAACCTCCCCCGGGACTGGAGGCTCAGTCGTGTGGGGAGCAGAGGTCACCGTCACGGCCGAGCTAGACCCGGCGGAGGGGATCAATGAGGGCTGAGCGGATCTGGAGGATGGGGGCAGGGAGGCGGCACTGGCAGAGGACTGCACGGGGGGAACAGAGGACGAGACGCGCACCGGCGGAGAGGAAGCAGTTGATGGCTGCTGGACGATGGGGGTGGAGCTCGACTGAATCAAGGGTGTGAGGGAGCTGAGCTGCTGAGAGAAGAGGGAGGAGGCAGCTGCGCTTGATCTGGAGGCCCCGAAGGAGCTGGAGTGTGGTTGAGAACGAACAGGTGATGGGATTGAGGAGGGAATTGAAGAGGGAATTGAATAGGGAATGGATGAGGGAATGGATGAGGAAATGTATGAGGGAATTGAAGAGGGACTTGAAGAGGGAATTGAAGAGGGAATGGCAGAGGAAATTGCAGAGGGAATTGCAGAGGGAATTGAGGAGGGAATGGATGAGGAAATGTATGAGGGAACTGATGAAGGAACTGATGAAGGAACTGATGAAGGAACTGATGAAGGAACTGATGAAGGAACTGATGAAGGAATGGATGAGGGAATGGATGAGGGAATGGATGAGGGAATGGATGAGGGAATGGATGA